ATCAACGTCGGTTTTAGATTTTCCGAGACCAACTGCAGTGTAACGTAGGTCCACTCGCGGAAGCGTAATCATCGTCGATATCTGAAGGCTAGCTTATCAGACTACTAGTTTCCCGCGATCGAGACGTCACTACGAGCGGGAATATGACTAGGCCAGCGTGACAGCAACGAGAGGGGTCGATGCTTATCAAATCTTCGCGTGTCTTCGGCAAGATGCTTCGCAGCCGCTGTAGCGAGGCGAAGGAGACTGATTGACTGATTGAATGATTTACCTACCTTGTTCACCTTGAGCCGTCGGGCTTAGGCCAAGTATCACAACGGATAAATTGGCCAAGTCCAAAACACAATCGGGAGGCCTGAGGTCGTCCAGCCGTGCTGCAAATTTCCGGCCAAGCGAAAGGACCTACTCGTAGCCGTCAAGTGCCCTAGACTTTCTTCTACCCTTTCACACAACCTACACCAGCTCCATAGCTTTAGCATCCTCTCCAGCAACCAGCTACCCACTACAGACAACCTATATCGATCTCTCGACCGCATCTCAAACACTCCGCGCCGCAAACAGTCTCGACTTACGACCTCATGGCCAAGTCATTGCCGTACAAACAGCCACTGCATCCACGAGTTCAACGAACCCCATTCAAAACAACGCGTCCAAGATATTACGTCCCTTTGCTGCCTGATGAGCATTTTTACCAAGAAAAAAGACGCGAATCATAAACCAGATATCTTGAAGTTGAGGAGTAAATCCTATCTCGTTCTCTAGGGTACATGTACTGCGTTGCCCATCTCGCACTGCGTAGACAGGTTGGATTGATCTGACTCTAGCATCACCTCGATCTAGGAGAGGAGACCTAGTATCGCACCTATGGATTATTAGTCGCTCAATACTCTACAGGTAAGCTATCCTAAGTCTAGGGCTGATCTTATAGATTTGACCAAATGTGTCCTATCAACACATCGAAACCTGTGAACATTCTCAGGGGTTGGGCACTGGCCTCCTGTTCGGAAGCATTACACCTCTTGCGTCATGTTTGTGTTGTCACAGAGCTACTTTGGCAACTGTCGAGGAAGCTCAATTCGGCGCTGATTGTCATGACTCCAAGGGTATTGTCCCTATAATTGGTGGTAGCGCTTCAATAGCGTCACTGCAACTATGAGAAACGTGGCATATCGATTCTTGATCAGAAACAATCGTCTAGTCAGCTTGTTAGAATCGACGTGTTACGAGGTATAGCGACTATGTTCAATGCGTCTGTTTGAGCAGGCAAGATAAAACTATTTAAGTAGCGGTATTGAGCCATGTTCTTCAGTGAACGTTGGGTCGCCAAGCTTCGCGCAGATCCTGGGGAGTGCACATTAGGTTCGGAATAATCTGCCCGACCCGTTGCTGGGTATCTAGGTACTAAGGTTGCTTGAGTGGTGCACAACAGCCCTTGCGTATCAGAAGGAAGCAGCCGCGGAATTTGATCTGCAAATATGAGTCATGCAACTTACGACTCGATCATTCTCTCGTCTTTCTGCTTCTACTTAAGTAGATTCTATCCTGAGTCTCTCTTCTGGATCACTTCTGTACTTGCAGCTTGCAATCGTTCGCCTGTCGGCTAGACCTTAGAACTGATTATACCTAGGTAGGAATATCTTACGTCGCACTCGTATTGCAACACCTGACAACGGAAGAAGACGGCAAACGCCTAGGTACGCCCAAGAACTATGACCAAAGAATCGAGATGACACCCCGAGGTGAAGGGAATGCAATCTTCTCCGCCGCCGACCTCAACTCACGATGCAGTATAGCGGATTCAGGCCAAGGAGATCAGAACGATATGAGACGTAGCCATGATCGCATCTCAAACGGATACCTAATTCCTAAAAAAAAAAAACTAGCCATATGTGCAATGGCATGTTCGAGGAAGGTTTGGAAACCACGACTCCTAATCTATTAGGGAGTGACTATGGCAGTGAAAAATGAGTGTATTAGCGGGCTCGAGTTAAAGTCAGCCTTATGTGGTATGATCCTACGTCTTCGTTACCGTTCTATCAAATTTAAGCATTACAGCTAGGTAAGTACGGATGACTTACATGGGCCTTGATCGTATCGATCAAGTCATACTAGAAATGCCACTAACAGCCACTTCCTTAATCCCACCCTCCACGCTATACCATACATGACAAGGGGCTTTCACAGACTGTAAAAATACGTATTATTGGGAATAGCGAGATGCTAGGATACTAACATAGAAGTTGAACCTTGTCCTTAGGTAAAGATATAAAGTGAATGTATGTAGTATCAGATGGTATAGAAGTGCCTTACGTGCTCTAAGGTAATCACCTTATACCTCACTACAGCACTACAGAAGCTCATATAGCATTAAAACTACACTTACTTTAGCGCAAAGCACATATTCTTCACCTCTATCTTTATCTTCGAACTAATATCTTTGCGGTGTGCTGTCTCAACCTCGTCTACGTCCCCTGTTCTTCATCGTACTGTTACTGGAACAGGGGTTTTATGACTAGAGAAGGGGGTGTTGACTGTTGTTACAAGGATAGTGCCTCTACATAAATGGTCTTGTAAGTCACAGGCACGGCGTTCCGCCTTGGGTGCTATATTTATTCTCCCCGCGACTTTAGGACTGACTATGTTAGTAGTTTGCAAAGGCATAGTGTTTGGAATTCAGTGGTTATGACTGACTTTAAGAATATTGAAAGCTACTCACGAGACGAATTCTGCTAGACAGGCATGGCTATCGGACCGCTTATTGATGGCGTCTTGACGCAACACGTGAGCGGGTAATGATGTAAGTACCTGCTTCCGTAGCATGTGTCCATCCTTTCACTTTTCAGCTCCCAAGTTTAGGCTTCTTCATCAATATCCTTATCGGCGCGATATCTGTGACTTTTCCGTTCTTCGCAAACATCTCGAACGACACAGCGAAGCCACCTTCACTACTCCTTACGTCGTTCCATGTCGCCATCTCACAGACTTTGCACTATTCGTCCCAACCACCGTCATGTTCCTCGTCGCGCGGTAGTAGGGATTGGAAGAGTATGGGTGAGCCCCATAAATCGGCATCGATCTTCTTCTGTTTGTTGGGATGTCACATAGGCGAGAGATCTCTTGTTCTCTCCCATCTGATGAAGAGGCGGATCATCTGGGCGACCACCATCCAAGTACAGACTTGTTTGTCAATAGCTTTGTTAGTGTCAACTAGATACAAAACCGTCTGTTCCAAAACTGTTAAAGGCGTCGGCGCATTTCTGAGCGATGTTTAGACGCAGTTGCTATCTTTAGTCATCTCTGGGGCTTGTATTGGACCGCTTGAGTATATCTCCTATATGACGTGACTGCAGAAGCGGCGACTGCTGTTGCTTGTGACTTGATATCGACTTGGTGTTCGGGTACTTCCACAGATAACTGTATCGGACATCAGATACTATATAGGTATTCGGTTTGCGTGAAATCAGGCTACGAGTGGTAAGTCTTTATCATATCTTGCTAGCCATCCCTTTACCTGTGCGCGTTGCATCAAGCATTATTAGTGATAACTACTTCACGCTGCTATAGGCTGTGAGCTTGGTCCAGGGCGCTGTCAAGTCGGACTCAAAGCCTGACTTTGATGGTCTTCCTGGTATTTGTGGAGAGCCTGGTAGCAGCCGTCTTCATGGTTGTAGGTGAAGTCGTCTTTACGCGACTCTTACCTCAGTACGTAACGAACTGCGGTTCTGGCCCCTCCGATGAGTACTGAGTTGGATCCTTTGCTTTGGTTGTCCACATGTCGATTAATAATGGTTCGATTTGCGCAAGGAAGGAAAAAGAACGAATGGGAGGTTGGTGAATCAGCGGCCTTGGCGTTCTGACCTCATCCAAAACTTCGGGTGCGGCGAACAGCGGAGGTGGTGGCATCACCAGACTTTCTTGTCAACACCACTTCAATCACCCACGATGTTCACAAGACGCGCAATCCCTTCAGTCAGTCCCTGAAACCCACGTGTAGTTATCATCTCCCACCTAACAATTACTAGGCTTTCCGAGCGGCAACCCGCGCAAGCACAGCTCGCCCCATCCCCTCGGCACGATTCCTCACACCATTCCAAGCACGATTACTTTCTGATGAAGTCCGTTCCGCGATTGACAGGGCTGTCGCATCATCGCCCGTTGTTTTGTTCATGAAGGGTACACCAGAGACACCACAATGCGGCTTCTCGAGAGCTAGCATACAGATCTTGGGTATGCAGGGGGTTGATCCAGAGAAGTTTACTGCCTTCAACGTGTTAGAGGATCAGGATCTTAGGCAAGGTGCGTCGCTCCGATTATACACCTTAGTCTGGCATTGAGACTATTGGACTCGAGTCGATGCACGTCTCGGGTCACCGCAGGACAATATATGCAACCATGCAGGCTGACAGGTGTAAAACAGGTATCAAAGAATACTCTGAATGGCCGACTATACCACAACTATACGTTGACAAGGAGTTTGTCGGTGGCTGCGACATCCTCATGTCTATGCACCAAGACGGATCGCTTGCGAAGATGCTGGAGGAGAAAGGTGTAGTCGTTCCCGCGGACGGACAGGCACCATAAGCAATACATGACGCAACAACGAAGCATGAAAAGTGTGTAAAGACTGTGTCATGCAATATCGCATTTACTGTAAACGCTTGGCAACTGCCTCTGTAACAACAAGAATGTATATGTTTGCGACGAATAAGGTATGCGGCGACCCGCATTGCTGGATTTTCCAAGACAACCTGATAACGTGAATGCCACTATTTTGAAAACACTTCCTTTCTGCAATTTGTCATGTTCTACATAACTGGATGCTCTTTCCCTTCAACGCGGGCGCGACTTCCTCCAGATAACCGGAGCACACCACGAACCTTGGCCAGTCTTGGATTCATTTCCACGCTCGGCTTCGTACCTCTCGACACATATAATACGTCATCCGCACCTGATCGATGCCACTTAGGATGGGAGTTGAGCGTACTGAACCCGCTCTAAGAATGCGCGGTAACGTGGACCTACCAGCGAAGAAGATATCGCTCGCAAGAGTGAAAAAGACAATTTCAGCTGCCACCTTCTTCAAGAGGCAAAACAATAAGATTTACAAAAGAAACAGTACACTCCAGGCAACTCTCAGAAACTCAAAGTTTACCGGCGAAGACGCTAATGCTACGACATTGCTGAGCGCCAAGTCACGCTCTTCCCCACGAAGCATAAAGAAAAGTGGAGGAAAAAAGAGATCCTCGGGGAGGCACCCTCTGAATGTGTTCTTCAAAGGTGCTGCACAACTATTCTTTTATCGGCGTACAGGGAACTAATACCATTCCACACAGATGCTAGCGACGAGTACCGCCGCCATCTTTACAACACTACCTCACTCAACATCACCAAAACTCTCAATTCACTTCTCCATAACCTCTACGATAGTACTCTACGAACGATCACCCCGGACAGTAGTCAGCAAAATTCCAACGCCTCGCCCCTAAGGCTTTCCGGCCCAGCAAAGTACGAACGTCTAGCCACCCAACTGTATCAGCCCATCTCTCAGTTCAAGCTATCACTGCGGCGTATCGACAGTAGAGGAAAGAGTGTACGGTTTGTGCAGACACTGGAAACTCGTATGCTACACTATGACGAGTTGATTGCCAAAGAGACGAAGAAGCTAGGAACGCTGCAGAAAGAGTGGGAATCTGTCGTGAGTGAGATCTGGAAGCTGGGAGCTAAATGTCTGGGCGACGAAGCGATGGCAGAGATGCTATTCACTGAACAAGGATTGTATGAGAAGACCTTGCCACTTTCCTCATCTCCATTTAAAGCCACCGACGCTGAAGACACTCTGTTCATTCCTGAGAACGACAGCTTTTCTCCACGCTACAAACCTCTTGTCGGCAAAAGGCGTGTTACTTTTCTCGAAGAAGAAGAAGAAGCACCAGGCGTTTGTGGCAAGTACGACGCCACGCCAACAGATCAGTTCCCAGATTTTATCCATCAACCTTCAAGTGATCGCAACGGCACGTTGCCTCTCATACCAGATTTATCTGAGGGCGAGACTAAGGAGCTGGAGAAAATGGTGACGGAGCTAGGCAAACAGGAGATGGGTGATTTCTGCAAGATTGAAGAGGATCATGAGGCGTACTGGAAAAAGAAGACGGCACAGCTTGCGAATGCGCTGAAGAGTGACTGAGGGGGCGGCGAGTTGAAGCGCCATCGAATGAGAACATATCATTTCTAAGACCAAAACAGACGTGATTACAGAACTCTAGAAGATGCAGACCATCTGCTTTAGCAAAAAGACAGTATGTATAGATGTCGGTAAGATAGCGAGGCATAAAACACTATGCATACTGTCACATACACGGTTATAGTCGCCGTTACCTCACTTCCCGATCGAGAACTCAGTACATGTGTATAACGTTTCAAAAATCTTGTTCTTGTGCTGTATGCTCAAAAGTCTACAATGCGGACTATTAAACAAGTAATCTCCGAAAGTGATCTAGCACATGCTGCCTAAGAAAAGCAACGGTCTAATAATCTAGATGGATATCTCTGGCTCAAAGTTAAACCCCAATCTTCCCTCGCACTCTCTTGTACAAACTTAGTCGAAAGAGCTCTTGAAGACGTATCGCTGATCCTCAGGTTGTTGGAATGGTACACCAAGCTCGAACAGCGTCATTACGCTTTCAGAGAAGTCCTTGAAGAAAGCGTCGTTGTCCTTTGCGTACAAATCAGTGTACTTCCTGAAGCTTTTGTCCTTGACAAGCTCCATGTCAGTCGGCAACATCATCAAGCTCTTAGTCTTGACGTCTTCAAACTGCTTGGGACCGTTCCACTTCTTCCATGACCACTTCTCCTCAACCAGGAGCTTGTAGTAGTCGTTGGTCAGGGTAGTAGGGGAGAAGGTCCAGGGGCCGTCAAAGCCAGAGCGGTCGGTGTGGCAACGGCCTAGGGCGTGTGCACCAGAGAGGGCGACCATGGCGCGGTCATCGAAGCCCATGCGGCCGAAGATGGCGCGAATGTGGCTAGCGTCCTTGCTTGCGTCGGGCAGACGACCGTCGGGCGTGCAGTAGGAGACGTCGCGGTCGGAGCGTCCAGCTCGGTATGGAATCTTGGGACCCTGCATCTCCTGGATGGCGCAGACACCAGCAAGAATCCACAGGTCGGAGTATGTGATCCACGGGAAAGCCTCCTTGACGGGCTCAAGGAAGTCGCGGGCAGCCTTGAGACCAGCATTGGCGCCGTGGTCGCCTTCGGGAGCGAAGCGCATAGTAGCACCGTTGGAGCCACCAGTTCCGGTCAACTTGTCGAAGCTGTTGCTCATTAGCACCCCTGTTTGATGGAAGAGAAATCATGGTACTCACGTTCCCGAAGCGTGCCATGCCAGACGCAGCAGTACAGGTCCGTAGCTGCCATCGTCGTAGTCGTCGTGCTCCTCGAGCCTCTTTGCGATATGATCGTAGACCTTCTGGTAGTCCTCGAACCTAGGTGTGAAGATCTTCCTGCTGCTGGTCTGACCAAACAATTCGGGTTTGTATGTGTACAGGCTGTATACACCAGCACCAACGAGGAGGGCACCAGCACCCCAGGCTAGGCCTGTTGGGTTGCCCTCGTGCTTGTCTGGTCCTTCCTGCTGAGAAGCGTATCCGCGTTGCTGGCTGCGGAAGGCGTTCTGTGTGGGTGCGACGAAGCGGGCAGAGGAGCGGGTTGAGGTGGTACGGAACGAGGGAGCGGCGGTGCGCAGGGCGCGGGAGAAGCTTCGTGAGGCAGATGCCATTGTGCTACAAGTCGAGAGGTGTGTGTTGATAAGCTCAATTTGCCTCTGAGGTCAATTGGCGTTTGCACAAAGGCAGTAAGATCGAAGGGAGTAACAACGAAGAAGCAACCAGGTCGTAGGCGCGGGAAAGCTTTTAAAGATAATGTTCTCAATGCCTCGGACACCCGATGGCGACAATCTTTCTTTCTGGAAACAACGGCAAAGACCCACTCTGATAGCCTCTGCACCAATCAGATGCATTACGGGGCATAACCGTCTGGACCCTTGGGATTACGATATCTGATGCCGCCGCGACACACGTCCGATCGCGAAGCCATGTTTCGCCGATTGGGAAATTTTGTCCAAATTATCTGGCAGATGACAGAGTTGGAGTTATTAGGCAGGGGAAACCGTGGTTTTGTAGCCTCAAAGGGCTGGGCGTTGCCCTCGTGCATAATCCGACTTCCACACGCTGTGATTCGCCGTGGCCGCGTCGATCGACGCAGGCCAGCCAGCCAAATGAGGGGTAACAGATGAGGCTCTGCGGCATCTTCATTCCATCTCTTGGGCGGCGCATGTCGTCACCTTCTACTCGTCGTGTAGCAAACTTCACTCTCTTCACCCCCCCCCCCCTCGTTCTTACCACGGTGGTACTTACCATGCTGGGTAGACACGGTGGCCAACCAGAGCTTTCGCGTACTAAGCCGCCGAGACTGACTCATGCCATGCCCACATGCCGTTCCTCTCCGATGAGCGGCGTGCACGGCAAAAGTGGGCGCATCGCTCAAAGAGGTAGTTTTCTCGATCTAATAGTGGTACCTCACTGTTTCTCCATGCACGGGATTTGTCAAGTAAAACATGAGTTCAATTACTGCGAATATCCAAGGCGTTCGTACCGGTAATGAAAAAGAAGCCAACACAGTCAACGCCTCCCATCCGCTGTCCTTCAATGCAATCCCAAGTCTTGATTAACGCCTTGCAAGGAAATGCTCACTCAGTTTGTGTGCGTGAAGAAACCAGAATGAATAACAACTCCAATGCCATGACATGAATGCGATCATTACCCGAAACATTACCTCTCTCGTGTATTACTCATCCAAACGTGAAATGCACAAACGAAAATGATCAATACAGATGGCCGTTGTGCGGAGGCATACCCATGATCATACCGAGATAGGGATGCGGGTGTGGGTAACCGTCTAGGCTGCTGGTAGGTGTGGAAATGCCAGAGTTGGATGCTGTTGGTGGTCGCGACTCTTCCATATTCCTCTTGGCTGCGTTCTCGGCTGCTTCCTTGACGATTTTGGGCTTGAGGAGATCCCAGGACGTGTTATTGGGATCTTTAGGAATGGTGATGGCACGCTTGTAGGCCGGGCAGGCTTCTAGCTCTTTGACGCTGATGGGCGGAGTCAGTTGCAACGCCTTTTCTTTGAAAAAGTTCTTGCGCCGTGACTTCTTTGCGTTATAGTCGGAGGTCCTAGCTGTTCGCTGCATCTCTTCCCATTGCTCCATTTTCTTTGCAAACATCTGGCGCTCTTCTACCTGCTTGGCCTTTGCAGCCAGCCATTCAGTCCACCATGCGGCAGTCTCTTCTGTGTTGGGAGTCTTCTCTCTTGACTCCCTGTGGAACTCGGCAACGAGCTTCTGTACATCTGACCGCAGGTAGATGGTCTTCAACGCATGCGTACTCGCGGGCCCCACGCCGACAAAGTTGCCCCAAGAATCGAAGATGCCACTGGGCAGAGCAGCACGGATGTAAGAAACGTCTTCGCCGTTTAGGCCCCGCAGCTGGGCAATTGCATCGTATTCCTTGACAACCTGGTTGTTGAGACAGTCTTTGCACATGCGACGCAGAAAGGCCCAGAACGTCTTGCGAGTGTTTGGCGCACCGCAGTCCATACAGCCATGCCCATGACGCAGATGGGCGAACTGGAACTCGGTGAGACCTGGAGGTGGGTCCGGCATGTCGTTTCCGTAGTAGTAATCCCTGCTATGCTTCCAGAGCATGGGGTTATCCCGCAAAAACCGATAGCATGAGGCAATCTTGCTACGCATCTCCAGCAGCTGCGCAGGGTCCGAATACGAAAGTATGATGAACCAACAGTCCAAGTCGACGCCTTTGGACAAGATCTTGCCCCTCCGTAATCTCGTCGGCTTGCGCTGCTGCCACTGTTGATTTAGCAGCTGGCGGGCCGGTGCCGCAACGAGTGGAGTCGTCGCATCGTTTCCCGAGTAGACAGCAGGGTTTGCCGCCTGCTCAGAGTCCTTTCTGCCCTCGTCGCCCCGCTTGCGCTTCAAACTGCCTTCGACCATTGCCAAGGGCACATTGTGAGACCGTACCTCTTGCGCCAGCCCCGCACGCTTCCCGCCGGGGCGCCGACAGTTGATCACGGTTGCGTAGGCTTGATCCGGTGTCTGCAGGAATGGAGTCTGCTTGTTGACTGTAAAGGCGACATATTTGGCATTCACCATCTCGGGTCAGCAGGCCAGCCGCTCTGGGTATCGTAACGGGTCGCTCGCAGTCACACTTCCACGTATAGGCTCGGGCCTTGCATAAGGTGCTGGCAAGATGGCGGAATTGGAGTGTGGACGGTCGAGAGGCTGAAGGAAAGAAAGGAAAGGAGTGTGGACGACGCTGAGACTTTCGCGCGCCCAGGCTTGAGTTGAGGTCGGCTGCCGAACCAAACTTGCCCGACTACAAGGTTGGCCCTTCGGATATAAAACCTGGCCCTTACTCAGCGCGACCACCCGTAGCCATCACATCTACAGTGTCCAGTTGACATCAGCCTAGAAGTGTACCTGGTAAAAAAATACGTCTGCCAGTGGAGATATGGATCCAGGAACTCTTCACGACACTGACATGCGGAATGATGCGCGCTCGCTATGCCGCATCAATCTGCTCCGATGCATCTTTTTCCCATTAGGCCCGACGCCACACCGCTGATCACATGGTTACATCACACGCGAGGCGCACGCTTACGGGCCTTTTTTACAGGTTTGAGCCGGCCAAAGTCGCCTGTCCAGTTTGCTTGTTGCCAGAGCCGAGTGCTGGATGATTAGCAGCATGCTGTCTGCGCCATCTCCTTGTGTACCCGTGACTTGGCGCTGGGGAACGGCAGAGCAGCTTCCTAATGAGGAATTGCATCGCTTACGCATGGGAAAAAGGGCAAAGTCAAAGATGCGGGGTTAGCGAGCGTGGAGGATGCGAGAGTGGTCAGATCTAGTGCTAGGGTCACCAGCGACCTCGGCCTTCGCAATGACTCTATCTCGTTATCCGCTTTCCACGTTATATTCTCTTCACTCCCGCCTGTTTCAAGTGCAGTGCAAGCGCGAACCTGGCGTCGGATCTACCCCGGTGCACTAGTTGACCAACCAGGTGGATTGAACAAGTCAGCTTCCATCATGTTTGGAAAGAAAGAGAGTAAGTTGCATCTCGTCATTACACTGCCAAGTTGTCTCGGATCACTCCCCCGGAATGCTTGACGAATCTTGTCAGCTTGCAAGCTTATCGTCAGATTCACATCTCTTGCTTCTTCAAGGCGTCCCTCCATGCAACACGACGTATCCCTAGATTCGCTGGATCACGCTGATCATCTGCAAAAGATGCACCGTCTTCGGACTTTGAGAAGACGGACCCTGTCCCTCGTTACGACAACACCTACGATGACGACCCAGCGCTCGTTCAGTGTCCACCAAACACTACAGAATCCAAACTCGTGGCCAAAATCGACCTCCATGTTATTCCTTTTCTCTGCATCATGTATCTTCTGGCCTTCCTGGATCGTGTCAATATCGCAAACGCAAACGTCTTTGGACTCAGCGTCGAACTCGACTTACTACGGGACAACCGCTACAATACTGCCCTGGTCATCTTCTTCATTCCGTACATCCTGTTCGAAATCCCTTCCAATGTGCTCCTCAAGAAGATGAAGCCTCGAGTCTGGCTCAGTATCTGTATGTTTGGCTTCGGACTTGTAACTATGCTACAAGGCTTCGTGCAGAACTACGCTGGTTTACTTGCGACTCGATTTTTTCTCGGTCTATTTGAAACCGGCATGTTCCCCGGTGCGTTCTACTTAATCGGCATGTGGTACCGGAGACACGAGGCGCAGAAGCGATACTCGTTCTTCTTCAGCTCAACAACTCTGGCCGGAGCTTTTGGCGGGTTGTTAGCCTCTGCAATTGGCAAGATGGAAGGTATTTCGGGATACCGTGGGTGGAGGTAAGTTTTAGATGTGCAAGTGCACACCCAACATACACTGACTCCGACAGATGGATCTTTATTCTCGAAGGACTCTTGACCGTTCTAGTTTCCTTCGCATTCTTCTTCTTGCTTCCAAACTTTCCAGAGGAAGTTAAGTGGCTTTCGGAGCCCGAACGCGCCTTCGTCAAAGCCAGGCTCCAGATCGATCAAGGGCGCTCCGCGCGCGAACGACCCATAAAAGCCAAGGATGTGGCGAACATCTTCAAAGATCCCAAAATCCTGCTCGGCGGACTCATGTACTTTGGCTTGATCGTTCCCGCCTATGGATATGCCTACTTCTCCCCGACTATTATCCAGGATTTCGGCTACTCTCCTATCCAAACACAACTTCACAGTGTTCCCCCATGGGCTGCCGCGTTTGGCTTCTCGATGCTTGTTGCGTGGTTCTCAGACAGGCTCAAGCACCGCTTCATGTTCGCCATTTTCCCTATTGCTGTCTGTATCGCCGGTTTCGCTATTCTCATCTCTGTGCACGACAATCGCAACCTACAGTACGCGGCGCTCTTCCTAGTAGCGATGGGGGCCTACACCGCTATGCCAGTCATCGTATGTTGGTTCAACATGAACTTGGGTGGCCACCACCGTCGAGCTGTGGGAAGTGCATGGCAGGTTGGTTTTGGTGAGTAATTCCTGATATACACCATATGAGATGTTGAGAACTGATTAAACACCCTAGGTAACATTGGTGGTATTATTGCAGTCTATTCATTCTTGAAGAAAGATGCGCCGAAGTATACAAGAGGATACTCAATCGCTATCGGTTTTGTATGCCTCAGTGGATTGAGTTGCTGCGCGTACTTTGTCATGTGCAGCTGGGCAAATCGGAAGAGGAACAAGAGCGTCAGGGATGTTGGGTTGACGGAGTACGAAAAGACCGAGATGGGCGACCTGAACCCGGAATACCGCTACCTCTTGTAGACGGTAAAACAAAGACTAGACAAGGAGGAGAACAAGAGCAGATACTGCAGAATCTAACCTTGATCAGGTTAATAGAGAAAATTACAGAGATGTGGTTTTCTCACTATTGAGCTCCTGACTTTATACAACGCTATATGAATTCTTATGACGCTGCCTTTACACGATACGGTGTAGCAGCCCCAGTGTGTCATACTCACCGCGTGTGTAACATCTTTTGCTACGCGTCTCAGGTCTTATTGGTCGTCTTGCACGCGACCTTTCTAACATTTTGCTACTAACCCTAGAATGTTTCAGTGAAAGCTTATCTGACTTCAATCAGAGCTCCTTTTGAAATATGTGTGGCGTCTTGGTATGAAGGCGTGTGGATCCTTCTGGGTCTGGAGAATACAATCTCAATAGGTATCTCGGTCTACACTGACCCGTGCATAAATAGGTGGTTTTGCGCAATTGTTGTGTGTAGTTGCTTGCCATCTCAGGTAACGCTCGGTGCCGTCGTGACGCTTGCAGTGTCCACGCTTTCTTCGCTGCCATGCCCCCAGATCTCTTTACTCTCGCTCTCAACTCCCCTCATAGCCTTTGCAACTTCTTCCAACCTTACAACGACCTCTTGCACACCCTTGTTTACCTTCTCAAAGTACCTGTCATTCTCCTCTCTCCTCTTCCGGCTCAACTCGATATCTTTTTCTGTCTCCTCCTCAAGCTTGATGCGATCAAACAACTTCTCACCCTTTCCGGATCCTGCCCCGTCATGAGGGTGTGCAAGGCTCTGTGGTTGCAGATCGTTCGCTTTGCTATCCTGTGACTTCTTCTGTTGTTCGGGTGTCTGTTCATCCTCTTCTGAGCGTGCCCATGCTTTCGCGAGTTCTATCTGCGCTTTTCGCAGCTCATCAAGGGCTCGGGAATGTTCAGAACCGAAGACGGTCATACCTGGTCCCTTGATGGCGCTCAGCTCCACCTCCTCCAATGTGTTCTGCATCTCGGCCCATATTGCTTCGGCGCGTGACGATGCTTCGGCATCTGCTGCTTGGCTATGCTGTCTTTGTCGCCGTTGGAAGGGCGCAGAAGGATTTGTGGAAGTAAGACTGAGGTGGTCGCCATCGTTGGTTGTCGTAGGTGGAAGAGGTCGCTGCGAATCTGGGGAGAGCAGTGAACGTTGGCGGACTAAGGGCGTCTTTGTAGGGGATCGAATCTCGTGTAACGAAGTGTTGGAAGCATTGTGCGATGGTGGCCCAACGAAGAGGGCAGGAGCAGGTAGGCGATTAGTTTGCGTCTTGGTGACTTTCTTGACGTTTTGGGAGGCCATAGTGACGCGCGAGTTAGGCGCGTAACGTAAAATACTAGTTGTAGTATCGTGGACCCTGTATGAGTCTTACGAAGGGCACTTGATTGAACCTCTGCAGCTTCTAAAACTGCCAACAAGCTGAACCTGTGACTTGTTCGGTATTGACAATTGATGTTCCTGTCTCCCCCAGATGGGATGACGATGGCCCGATAAGATAAGATGGCGTGGTGGCGCTAGGCCGTTTGCAGGCCAGCGCCGCTAAGCTGTGGGGCTTGGCTCTGGCGCACACTGATTCCAGCCGCTCTCGAAAATACTTCGACGTCTGCGATACTAACCACACTCTCCCCAGCACACCCGTCGTCAATACCGCAACCATGGGTAAAGGTACGCAACTACTCTCTCCAGCAGCCCCCGATCGACGACAAATGCACGATCCCGCGCCTTCGCCGTCTTGGATACCGTCGTATATTGTGTAGTTGCTCACAATACCATCAGGAAAGCCAAGAGGTCTCAACGCCGCCCGCAAGCTCCGCAACCATCGCCGCGAGGGACGATGGGCGGACCTCCACTACAAGAAGCGTCTTCTCGGAACCGCCTTCAAGTCCTCCCCCTTCGGTGGATCTTCCCACGCCAAGGGCATAGTCCTCGAGAAGGTCGGTGTTGAGGCCAAGCAGCCCAACTCCGCTATCCGAAAGTGTGTCCGTGTGCAATTGATCAAGAACGGAAAGAAGGTCACCGCTTTCGGTATGTCACTATCTGGAGATTGAGGAGAGCTCCGAGATGAGCCTGTGGCGAGCATGAGAGCACGGGCTAATAATTTGGCAGTTCCCAACGACGGTTGCTTGAACTTTGTCGATGAGAACGACGAGGTCCTCCTTGCTGGTTTCGGTCGTAAGGGCAAGGCCAAGGGTGATATTCCCGGTGTGCGTTTCAAGGTCGTCAAGGTTTCCGGTGTCGGTCTGTCCGCACTGTGGAAGGAGAAGAAGGAGAAGCCCAGGTCATAGAGGACTCGTCTGCAAGGAGTCAAGGAAGGAAACGAACGTGGACCACAAGCCCGCCATGAACGAATGATGGAATCCGCGGATCACTATGGGAGGTTACCGGAGTCTTTACATTGGGATATCTGTGCTTCTACTCGGCATATGAAAAGTCATGATATGCTGGAGAGTTAGATAGAGAATCTGACTCGTTCAAGCGCCCACTCCGTTTGCATATGTCTATGGAGTGAAGTTTGGTGCGTCGCCACATCGTCCATGAAGTTGAGCAACCGTGTTTTATGGAAGCTGCACATGCTACAAAGTATCGTTTATTGAAAAGGACATTGTATTCTACACTAAGCATTCCGTTCAACGTCAACCGACTTGGACTGATGCAACATAGGAAAGAGGCGCCGCCGGGTATCTTAAACAAAACGCCAACCACACATGCAATCTCAACAACTCTAGGATAAAGTTTACCCTATTTCGTAAACATAGCATTAAACGTATCCTCCAATCCTGTATCCTTGGGAGTCCCATAATAATCATACTTCAGCTTCGGGCTAGCGAAGAGCTCCGCGTCCCTCTTAACATTCTTTGGTACACCCAGGCCATCTAGGCCTGATACTTCTCCCACGCCTCCTTGTGTCTTCTGTTCCTTCTTAAAGAAACTGGGTGCGTTTTCTTTGAGAGGAGGAGTCCAGACACTGGGTTTCCAAGGGTTGGGTTTCTGTCTCGCAGAGAGGGAGGTTGGTGGCGGGGCTGGGACCCGGTGACGGAAGGGGTTTGGGTCTGGCTTTGAGAAGATGGAATGGGGTTCGTTGAAGCGAGGAGGTGCTGCGGGTGGTGGGGTTGTAGTCTTGGAAAACTGATTGGATATGATCTCTGGAGCTTGGGAAGAGAAACGGCCTCTGGGCTTAGTTGGTGTCCAGTCCATGTCGTCAGCACCCAGGAACGCGGATCGCTGAGCGAAGGGGGTGGTGACATCGGTAGCGTGTGTAGTGTAGGAGGCTTCTGAGATGGTTGGTGACGGAGGGAGAGGAGAGGATTCTTTACCCTGTTCAAATCCAGTCGTGAAAGCTTGCGCCATACTATCGAAGAGGTCTGCCTGGGGATGAGCCGGATGGTAAGAGCCTTTCCTGACCTTCTTCGCGCTACCAGGCACCTCGGGAACAGGTTCTCGAGTCGCTTTTGGGAAGGAGGGTGCAGCGCCGTATACGATGCGCACAGCCTTCCATGCCATGAGGGACGAGAAAGCTAGTATGCCGAGCATGCCCATGTGAGTGTGCCGGAAGTGGTCGAGCGTCTCGTTATTGATTTCGGTGCCTTGCCAGTAATAGAGGCTTACGAAGCGGAGGACAACCGCACTTACGCGGATCACCCACAAGGACATGAGCCCACGCATTCGTCCTGTAAGACTGTTCATCTTGACTTTCAACTTGGGATTCCACCAGACTGTAAGAGCGTCGGCAATGATTGCGAACTTCAACCACTTGAGTACTACGGGTGACAGTACACAGACTTCATCGATCCAGCCATTTGACTTGGCCTGGGTCCAACAAGTATCCCAGCTGAACACTTGATACGCCCGTATATCTTGGTCCGGACCCATAATCAACCCAGCACTATGCCAAACCACGCCTATTACCGTGCTCAAGATGTAAGTCCACTTGGCCAGCGAAATGAGCCTCAGTGTCCACGCTTGCCGGTGGGTGTGTACGGTCGTGCGCTTCTGCTTGGCCGCTTCCATTATGCGCGCCAGATTGTCTGCTCTAGCGACGTGATTCGCATTCCTGATCTGATGTTGGACTCGAGGCAGACATTCGCTGCAGACTTGTGGGTATCGGGTCTCGAGCTCGTCCTTGTAGTCGTCATACGCGGCTAGATATTGGTCGTATGCCGGGTCGTCTTCTTCAGGGAGGTATTCACCGAGGAGTTTGGCGTAGAGGGTCTGGTTGCGCTGACATGTGTCGCAGAAGATGTCATCCCCCACTGTGGACATGGCAGGTGTTGGTGAGCGCGACCGCAGGTGTTGAAAGGAGGCTTGAGGTGCGGATGCGATTTCTTCCAGGGGCGGATCTGTGATGTTTCCACGCTAGAAACAAGTCAGCTGGGAAGAGTTGAGGGGACACGCAGCGAGTATGTACCTCATCGAAGTGATTCACTGCGTCGCATTGCGGACAGTGAAATGTCTTGGGTATGTGTAAGAAGGTGTCGCGTGACTGGTTGTTGCAGTAGTGACAGCGCAGCCTGCGCCGTAACAGCGCCATGGTGAAGGAGACACCTGGAGTATGTGGTGATGGCAATGGTCAGTGTTGATGCACCATGTCATGGGCAACGACGTGTTTCGGCAGAATGTCGAGGCTGCCACACCGCCCGAGCGCCGGCGCGGAAATTTGGTTCACCATGTCGAATGCACTGTTCACCACTTTGGGAGCGACGACTGCCGACAACGCATCACGGCGGACAGAACAGTGGCCCAGGAACTTGCGGCACCATCGCCCGAATCGAACGTCCCGGCTATATCCATCACTCCACCCCTCGTCGCCCGCCATTCGATGGCTCGGTAGTCCGCAAACCCTCGCACATCCATCTCAATCGCCGCCGTCCCGCCCACCATGAGCCAGTTGGTCGTCAGGCCAGGACGCAATGCCGCCCGACAGGCCAAAAAGCTCAAGGAGATTCGGAAAGTCAAGAACGCAATTACCTGGCACGAGCGGGAACGCAAGAAGCGACAGGAACTCAAACAGGAACGATGGGATTCCAAGCAAGCCGTTATCCAACGTATAATGTGGGAGCATGAGCACGTCAAGGGTGTTAGGAAACAGGCCTTGGCCAATGCAAAGGAAGACTGGAAGCTTGGTCCCTTGAGGCCAAATCGCGCCATTGGCCCCGACGCTGAGAAATATGGTGCCCTCAAGGCTGCCCAGATCCAGAAGCCCGAGATACCTGTCAAGACCCAGAAAAACCGAAATGCTGTCAGGGAGAAGAAGGGCCTGGAATTGGAGTATCCGCTAGTCGTCGACGATAAGAAATACTTCCCGATTGTAAAGGATGATCGTGTCGTGATATTGAAGGGGAAGGACGCGGGTAAAATTGGTACTGTGCAAGAGCTCGTTCCGAGAACACACGAGGTTGTCGTTAAAGACATGAACATGGTAATTTCTACCTTGCCTTACTGCAGCTGTGTATCATTAACACTTCACAGCAATATTTTGACACCGCCGTGTTCAACGCCGCTGCCGAAGGCATGGGGCCTAAGATAGAGAATGCTTTGCCTATGCCTCTTGATAACGTACGCCTGGTGGTACCTGCCGAGATACAGAAAGGAGGCAAAAAGTGCTTCGAGGATGTTGTGGTCGAGAAGATCTTCATGGAGCGACATACAACCGGCATTGACCCCTACACTGGCACCGATTACGGCGACAGCGAGATCCCGGAAGCACATCAATATGATCCTCGAACTGGTCTCCCCATATTCCACCGATACATTGCAGGCACACGGCAACGACTTGAATGGCCATGGGAACGTGAAGAAGAGATCAAAGATATCGATATCACGAAAGAGTCAGAGACGGACAAGCAAACATGGCTCAGAAAAACCATAGCCAGCATAAGCCAGCCGCTCACCAGTTTGAGTCGCTGGCGAAGCAAGAACAACGAGGACCGAGCTCAACAGGACGCATCGAAGGACCTGGCAACTGGTAGCATTGAAGAGAAGTTTTCTGAGATTCAGAGGATGGAGCAAGATAGATTCAAGGCTGCGACCCCAAGAAGCATGGATCCCAACTATCCCGGAGCCTATGACGTTGATACAACGCGCAATATCGTTGAGGGATCAGAGTCCATGGCTTATACGCTCGTTGCACCACCTTTCCCCGACACACTTGGTGAAGAACTCCGCGGCGATATTCACGAATTCTCCATCAAATCAAAGAAGGAAAAGGGCCCTGATGCACCGCGCCCTATCAAGATTGCAAGACACTCTGAGCAGGGTGTGCTTGCACGGGAGATTGCAAAGCAACAGCAGAGAGCTGCGGACGCAATGAAGACACCCATGCAACTGAGGTGGGAGCTCGAACATCAGAAGAAGGTGCAGAGCCAGAAGGAGAAGCCACTCGTGGACCAAGAAAGCTTGCTGGCGGCGTTGGGTCAGCACATGCAGAAGAGTGCTACAAAGCCGTATCTGGGAAAGAAGCAGATTTCCAGTCAAACAGCCGATCTCGATTAGAGCCATCAAAGCACGACATGACACCACATGACGCATTGTGGAATGAAATTTGTAGCATCTATTCTGTATATATAGCAAGCATTGCAGTGGGAAACTCAGTCAGGCCCTCGGCAGCATGTGGGGTATCTTCGCTGTAAATGTACACCAAACGCCTAAATCATGCATATCACGACTCCCATCACCTTGCCATGTATATGAGCTCGTACTCAAACTAGAATGCCCCAGTACTCCGCTCGTCCCCCAGCGCCTTCTAGCTCCTCCCACTGTACCAGGAATCGATCCACAACCCTCAGCAATAGCTTCCCACTCAGACTCAATGTCTTGACGCGTGCGAAGCTCTCTACGTACACGGTCTTGCACTTGTCCCTGCTGTTCGCACCCTTGATGTTGAAGTAACGAAGTATAAGACTCGCGAGGATCAAGATTACAGCCGTAGCTGGGCCGTTTGTGATGATGAGATCTGGGAGGTCGGCGGCTGTGGTTTCGTAAGGTGTCGTGGGAGCCTGGCCAGCTAGTAGCGGTGGTACGTGAAGGAGAGGCGCGAACGATGCTAGGAGAGTATAGAGTGATGTTAGAGGTGTTGTGAGGAGTGGCTGGTGTATCTTGCGCGCACGAGGCACGTTGGCGATATTATAGTGGTCTGGTCCAGTGCATGCTGGTTTATCGCCCTTCTTCTCTCCCGCCACATATATCATGCTGTCTGCACCTGTCATCACCGTCACCGGTGTTCTTCCTGCGCTGTTCTCGTAGACTGCATTTTTCTCCATGTCTTGCTTGCGTAATCGTCCCTTTTCCTTATCTTCAAGTCCTCGCTCAAACTCCGCGGCGCGTTGTGCTGAGAATGCATCTCCGCTGCTGACTACATATGTTCTGTGCGTGTACTTGCGTGTATCCAGATCTCGAAGTAGGTAGAACATCTCGTGTGTATGCCCTCCCGATCCTAGCACGATAAGAACGCGTGTTGCGAGCGGGCGCTGGCGTAGCGGTGTTGATTTCGAGCGCGCATTTGGAAGGATAGCGAGCAGACGTAGTGTTGCAGCGACAAGCAGAGTAACTAAAGTCGCGATCGCGAAGGAGAGCGTATAGAGGGAAGCTGGCGGGGGTGCCATGGCGGGGTTCTTGCAATGGAACGCGAATGAGGCCAAGCCGCGGTGGGCTTTCTATCCTTACGATTCCTGTTTAGAGATTCCGAATGCTGTGACTCAGACTGAGCGCGAAAACATCGCTGTTGTGGTCGTAAACTTCACCGGGTGAAGGTACGTGTCATAGTAGTCGGCCAACCATACGGATCTCGGAGAGCACACGAAATCACATGCTTTAGACTTGGCGCGAGGGCAAGTCTACCAGCACCATCCACGTCTTCTCTCTCACATTTTCATCACGCACGTGGGAAACACAGGTCCAATTAGACTCCGTGCCTGAGAGATACATAATTCTACGGCCATACTCACGATCATATTTGAGGAGATCACGCCTCAGCTACTCCGTCATGTACCTACATTACCTTTTCAAGTATTCTTTCAAAGCTTACTGAGGAAGACCATTGTCGAATTGCAAGTGTGTTTTGCTACGAGAGCAACTCGGATCGATGGATGAAGCGAGTGCTTACGCCAGAGAGGAGAGCATATGTACACGAATAATGGTCACAGATCAGTCGGGGTGACGCAATACATGTGTCGAGAGCTCAGCCTTACGTGTGTGTATGTGTGGTGTCCTCGGCGAGGCACAACAAGAGCATCTTCTAGGAAGAAAGCACAGGTATACACATCAATCCTTACAGAGATCATTCCGGAAAAGCAGACTCTTTCAGTACTCGTCATCACCGCCCATTTTCGCCCACAACAATTTCCTCCCAAACTGGCCAATACACAGCCCTCTCTGGTCCATCCATTTGCCAAATCAAACTGGGATTCTGCCTCATAACACCTTCATATTCCCTCTTCAAGCCCAACAATTCCTCACTCAAATCCCTTATCGCATTGATTACTAGCCTCAATTCCTTGCCCTCCATAGTTGCTGGCGATATTTCGCTCTTCAAATCTGACAACGGGCCGACAAGACGCGCGAGTGTCGGAGGCAGGTTGTAGCGGAAAGAAGCTTCTACCCATACAGTGACCGCAAGACGAGAAGCTAAGAAGACGCTAAGCGCGGGTAGATAGGCTAGTATGTCCGCTGAAGAGTTTGTGGTGTGGTGAGACGATGGAGCCAGAGCCCGACTGAGGTGAATGGGCCAGCAGAGAGCCGCGTAGCGTAGGAATGGAAGGTGGGTGTCGAAGGGTATGGTGCGGATGCTATTTGCTCGAGAGCTGTTGTGTTGGGTCGGTGTGGCATGCACATTGTGAATATTAGTATCTCCGTCTGATGAAGACAGAGACTTGTATCCGCTATCACACGATGCACTTGTTCTTTGGCTCGCGCCACTGCTAGTAGGTATGGTGAGTGGCATGACGGGGCCACGAGGCTGCAAGGCACCAAGAGGGCGTTTTGGTACATCGTGAGTGAGGTAAGCTAGACACCGTGCTGCTAGGTGGGCATGTACGCTGCTGTCATCGTAAAGACTAAATTCCGAGCTTTGAGACCCTGGACTATGGAGGTAGTCTCGTATGGATCCGTGGGAAAAAGCGATGTCGTCGTTGACAACGCGAACGAAGCCAAATGTAAGTTCCGGTAAGGCTTCTAAAATATCTTTCGTATGCGAACTCTCGGACACGTTGGGGTTGCGTAGAATGAGAGCGGTATGCAATGCCTCTGGACACATGCGGTTGATTGGGCAAGAGAGCCACCGGAACGTGTCAGTGATGACATGTTTTTCAGTCAGTGGATGGCGTGCTAATGCATCAAACATGATACGAAAGAGTGATTCCAGACTCTGCAGCGAACGCATGTCTTGTAAGATAGCAAATCGCTCCTCCGATGACAGCAGCGGCGATTGAAGGAACTTCAATACCATGCCGGCCCATAGAAAGTCACCATCCGCTGTCTTCGCGACTTCCGAGATGAGCGATCGGTCCATGCAAATCCCAAAGAAACCTTGGTCTGCTAGGCGGTTCAGTTTTGGTGCCACGAAACGATCGATAGCAACTGCGTTGTACTTGCTAGTAAGTGGGAGAATGTGGGGAGCATCTGAAGCCCATTTCTGGTACTCGAGAGGTATCTTCAAGTTCGGCCTGCTGAATATAATAACTCTTGTGTCGGAACCACGACAAAGTCTTGCTAGAGAAGCGAGGAGCATTTCAGTGTCGCTACACTCATCAATGCCATCAACCACAATGAAAGTGGGATGTTGTCGAAGTAGAAGCAATAAAATGTCCGTGACCTCATCAGTAGTAGCGTGTTCTCGAAACGAAGTTTTGCGCAATAAAAGGCTGACAGCATCCAGGGTGGAACGATCGTGTCGATGTGTATGGAGCAACTGACATGAGAAGGCCCGAAATGCGTCTTCAGGTTTGTTGTTCTTGTAAAGGAGGTTACTAAAATGATAGTGTGCGGTCGCTGGAGGCTCATCGCATAGGTCAGGATCTTCTGCTTCACCAGCCAGATTGCTTACAACCGAGTGTGATATGACAGTCTTGCCAAAACCTGCTTTCGCTAATCACTTGTCAGCTTTCCAAATATTTGACATAGATGCAGGTTTACCTACCCTGTATGAACAGCACTCGATGCTGCCAGTTACTAGCTATAGCATTCTGATCGTTTGCCATGCTTTGATCAAAGCGCTGATCTCGCCATTTGGTGTATGCTGGAGCATGCAAGAACCACGCACAGAAGTCCTGGTAAGGTTGACGAAAATCGTGAGCCGTTGTGTTAATCGAGGCTGAAGTTGACAGCCAGCTTTGCACTTTTTCAACTCTCCTTAACCGCTTTGCAAGTCGTTGTCCATCTTGTTCTACCTGACTATTGCAGTCTGCACTACTCTGTCGATGTAGGAAGCTAAGATAACTTCTACGTTGCTGTGAGACTTCCGCGTAGTATTGAAATTCGTTGTCGGTCTCTCTCTCTAGCCAGCTCCTATGCTGTCTTATCCGGGTTTCAACGTGGGCAAAGCGCGAGTCGAGTGGCCGCCATAGCGATGAATGTGCCACTCCGAACGTAAGAGATTGCACTTCTGTGCCTGTGTATAGTCAGTCAAACCCGGTTCTGAATCTGTACGATATGGAAACATCTACGACTGTATGTCATAGAACTCGGAGCATAGTAAAAAGTTCTAGCGCGTGGAAAATCTCATAATTCAACGATGTACGGATCTCTGGAGCTTCCGTGGCAGAACACTATGACGGTCCGAACCACATATGCGACTTCAAGTCAACGAGAAGACGTACCTTGTGATCCTCGGCAAAAGATTCGATACAGCTCTAGGAAAAGCTGCACAAGGTCCGCATACACGAAAGAAAAAAGTGTTGCCAGATGATAATCTTCAGCTTGGCCATGAGCCTCGGAACCGTTACGTTTGCAGATTTCGTAGATCTGTTGGTAAGGAGGTATGATCTGCGCAATAGCCTCAAGCATGTCGGCAATCTTCTCAAGGAAAAGCACGCAATCAGTGCTCATCTGCCTCCAGTGTGAGTTCAAGAGATGCATTCAGAGTGGCTTTGATCCATACCTCGAATACCAAACGAACAATTCCCCACAAATGACCCGCCCATGCTGGCTTTAGTTCGATACATGTGCTAAGAACATCGAAGTAAGGTGCAAAAGTTCGAATGAACAATGTGAACTTTCGGGTAGAAACCAGTCTTCTTAGGTCTGTGGACCCGTTGCCGGTGGACATACGATGCAAGTCGTTCAGCAAGAGCGAGGCACTAACATCGTGATGGAAATTTTGACAATGTTCTGGCAGTATAGTGTTGTGTGTTGCCTGTATTGCTTCATCAAAGAGTGAATGGTCTAAGCTAAATCATAGTCAGCTTTGCTCGGGCTGCCAGTGACAGACTAACCTTGAATCCACCATGGCTATGTCCGTGTCTTGAGTCTGTGTCGACATTTTTTAGACGCGATCGAACTCGAGCGTAGACTTCTTCTCTGTAGCGAATTCATTGGCACAAGACGTTAAGCATCCACTTGGAACGATTCAGAGCGACAGTGACATTGTAAAGGTATGGATCCGGCAAGGACAGCGGGTGTGCCTGAGTAATAAACATTCAACGCGCTCATTTTGATGGGACCTAACACGAGAACAATTACTGTCCCGCATGGAGCCACGGGAGAAGAAACGGGCGTCGTGGGGCTGAAAAGATGCGGCAGATAAGCGGGATGTGTAAGAGCATGTTGAGTAAGGACCTATAGCCACGAATGTCATGCCCCGGACACAAAGACGTGGGGGAGCAAGCTAGGAACGTGGGCGAGACGACAGGCCCATGCGACAGCTCGAATGTGGCAGATCGGAGGTGCAGGCCGGCGGGCGGGTAATTCCTTGTTCGTAATGAGTAAAAGAAACCCAAAAGGAACATTACTCAAGCGAGCCGTGGAACATGAACGAATAATATCTTGGGTATCTCCTCCTACGAGCTACATAGCCAACTGCTCGGCGCAACGGGTCTATAGTACAAAAGGTATTAGAATGCGAGGTACTAAATCGAATGCCACTAAAATTGTGGCTACCTGATTACGCGGATGCGGGCATGCCGAGCCGAAGCGCAAGCAGCGCACGCACGTCGGTGACATACTGCAAGCCCTCAAGCAGTGGGATAAGGTGCAGCAGATCGTGGTCTGTTGGGTCGCTGATCCAGCCTTCGATGGGAATGGCATTGTCTGGGATCACTATCAGTACAGGCTGCCTTGGGTCGCACTGGGCCGGAGCTGATCTTACCTGGATGGAAAACGTAGCTCAAGGGGCTGTTGTCAAGAATCATGACCTTGCTGAGATCGGGCTCAACCTGAGCAAGGTCCTTGATGTAAGCCCCGTTACGAACAGTGCAGTGCTGTCGATAGTATCTGCCTGCAAAGTACTTGCGCTCCACCTCGAGCCAGTCAATGACGGGATCTGCGTACTCCTGAACCGACGCGGTGAATATGATCAGATTGTACCATTTACTGACCTGTCGCGCCGTTAGTGTGACATGAGGCGCTCCTGGCCGAGGCGCATACCTTTTTCAAGAAATCGTCGCAATACGGCCGTTTGTGAACATAGTACAGGAGCGGCACTTGTGGGCCAATAACCTGTCCATCCGCGCCAACCGAAGCCTGAAGCTTCACTTCTACCATGTGGCCGGTCTGGAAGCGGCCGCCGTTGACTATGCTGTGAATCAGCGTCTCATCGAGATCTATGATCAGCGTCTTCTGGTGTGGTCCAACGGCGGATACGCCTTTTGCAGAGTACGACGGCTGGCGGCGTGGCACCAAGGGACGCGGGGGTTGGGGCGCCCGTGGGAACTTGGTCAGTTGTTTCGACGACGCAGATGCCGGGCCAGTGGGGGACTTTAGGGAAGCGGCCGCCTCGGAGGAGATGGAGTCGGCCCTTGACGATTGGGCCTTTTTCGCCGCCTTGCGTTGCCTCAGAGCATCCTCGTTGTGGTGCAGGGTGATGCGTATCGACCTTTTGGCTGGGGCGATTTCGTCTGCTCGTGCAGTTGCGCTCGATTTGGAGCGAGTGTGGCGGGAGGGGCTGTCCAGGTCGTCGTCGCGTGTGGGAGATCGCTCGCTTTCGGAATCGGACGTCATGGCGGTCGAGGTTGATGCTATTGACAGTGAACGTCTCGTGGGTTGCTTCATGACTGGTTGCGCGACACTCGAACTGCGACTCTTGCGCACTCCCTTCTCGCTACGGTCTGGGGCAGCCGAGGCTCGCGATGATGCATGCGCCGCCACTTTTTTCCGGCGTGCACGCGTAAAAGTGCGCGAGATGTTGTAGACAGGTGCTAGAAAGGAGAAGTGGCCGTCTTCCTCGTAGTAGAAGGCGGCGACCAGACACTGCCCCGTATACACAAAGGGGGTCACCAGCACGCCGACCACAGCGGCAATGCCGTCGGATATGCGCGCGGGATACAGCCATATCCTGCGCCGCTTGGTGTCTTCGTAGGGGCCCTTCTGGGCCTGCTGGAGTAGTGGTGTCTTCTCGTCGTATCCGGATGCGACCGCCTCCGTATTCGAGGAGCCGGAGCCGTGGCTCCTGTCGGCGCCCATCTTGCGCGTCTCACTCTGTGCAGCTATTGCACTCGCATCGTCAGCTGGGGGTGATCTGGAGGGCCGAGGCTCGAGAATGGCGAAGGACTGTGGGGTAGCGTGATTGCTGGGGGGAGCGCAGATGCTTATGTGTTGTTGGCTGACGGTAATACCTCCGTGATGGCGGGGCCGTTGCGAAGCGTGTACAGAGTTGCGGCTCAGTGAATGTGCTCTTCAAGCACTGACGGAACTAGCAACAAGCCGAGGCGTGCAATTCGAGGGAGAGGATGGCTATGCAGCTAAGCAGAGGTTGGGGACGAGGGCAATGACGAACCGCTCGAGCGACCGTGCCCAATCGGAACGCCGAAAGCTCAATTTAGTTACGACTCATACTTTGCCATGACCACCGCTTCGACATGCAATTCCACTCCCACGCTGCCCCAACATCGCCATAGCCGCGTCGCCAGTGCTTTGGCCCAGCAGCGCATCCACCGACTGGCCAGAATACACCCCCTCGGACCTGCCCAGCGACCACGAGAGTCATCAAACCACGACAACCCCACCACCCCACATACCCTCGATATCCCGTTTGAAATCTTGCGACTTTGGCCTGCGCCTTCGCTTTCGCACAGATTCCCACCATGCAGGGCGCAACAATACAGGCGCCGGGACTGTCGACGTACCTCAAGTCGCTGAAGAGCACGCCTGTCGATGCTTCGGTTGAGCATTTCATCTCGTGAGACGCGACTCTGCATCCACGTGCCCCAGCACCAACTAATCTCTCCGCTCCAGACTCCTCAAGCGACGCCAAATACGAAACTCGAGACCATGCGCTATAGCGACGACGGCTCTACTCTTGCGCGTCGTCGGCGAGTTCAAGGGAAGGGATGCCGCAAAGCTCATTGAGCGCATAAAGCAGGTCGGCAGGCGGTTGACGTCGGCGCAACCACGAGAGGTAGTCGTAGGCAACATCGTACGACGCGTACTGGGGCTCGTACGCGAGGTCGTCGACGAACATGCCGAAGGGCAGACGCCAACGGGAAGCGAACCAGGCCACTCGACTCCACAGGCGCCCGCGCAGCACGACTCCCTTCACAGGCCAGCCTTGAACTCGAGCATATCCACCTTCAGCCCTCTCAGACATGCCGTCGCCGAACCCATGCACACAAGTGTCTTCACCGACAACGCATCCGACGTTAGCGAACCCTCGAGACGGCCCCCGTTACTCACCTCACACACTTCGTATGCGCCCACCTCGTCCGCTCCTCTAGTCCACTCGCTATTCGGCCTCTTCTCCCAGCCCGCAGACACACCCTCGACCACAAGTACACCCACAGGCCAGGCTTCGCCAAACGGCAAGAGCACTCTCACAGCACTCAACCTGGAGCGCCTCGAGGGTATCAACAGGAGCCAGAATCTCGACCTCAAGGGCGAGGTCATGGAGGGCATAAGAGAACTCCAGGACGAGCTCGAAACATCAGACAAGCAGATTGCCGAAGTTGCCCTCGAGCACATTCACGCCAACGAGATTATCCTCACCCACACTGCGTCGACAACAGTCCAGAAGTTCCTCCTGTTCGCCGCACGAAAGCGCAAGTTTACCGTCGTACACGCCGAGACATATCCCCACGATCACACTGCCACCCATGGCATCCTCCTTACCGGTAAAAAGCGAGAGGCGAACCCAGATGACGACGCCGACGACGACAAGTGGAAGCCGCTCACCGACGCCGGCATCCAAGTCTACGTTATCCCAGACTCACATGTCTTCGCCATAATGTCTCGCGTCAACAAGGTCATTCTAGCGACACACACCGTGCTGGCCAACGGCGGCCTGGTTGCTGCAGCCGGAGCACACATGATTGCAAAGGCTGCCAAGGAGCACCAGACGCCTGTTGTGGTGCTCAGTGGAGTATACAAGCTCAGTCCAGTCTATCCGTTCGACATCGACGAGCTGATCGAGCACGGTGATGCAGGAAGTGTAGTGCCCTACGACGACGGCGAGTTTGTCGACAAGGTCGATGTTGAGAACCCTCTGTATGACTACGTTCCTGCAGACCTTGTGGATCTCTACATTACCAATCTGTAAGTCATGTCTCCAACTTCTCAGAGCACCGAGCAAAACTGACCCTTACAGTGGTGGACATGCACCTTCATACCTCTACCGCATTGTAGCGGACCACTACCGCTCCGAGGATATCACTTTGTAATTTAGCCACGAGCCACGGCGTTATGATACCAACCAAGCCTAGAAGGGACAGGAAAAAGTGTCGGCAGCAAACAATGTTACCCCACCTAGAGTAGCATTACTCTTCTCTACAGTCATGCATTGCCTGAAAGCAATAAATACAGCACAAATTCCTCATCCATTCAACCCGAGGCACGTATGCCGCCATCTTCACCATCACCGACTCGTGCCCTCGCCCTCCACCCGCCCAACTAGCACACTTCCTACATACCCTTGACCCCCATTGGCCGCCCTTTCGTGCCCCTTCTGCACATACCCGTAACCCATAGGTTACCACCCCCATCATTGGTCGCACGAACTTTAGCAGTGTGCCCTTCGGCCATGGGAAATCAACGGTTTCTGTCAGAATTACCGCGTTGGGTAGTTTGACGATGCGTGAGGGTGGGCCGGCGGGGCGGCAAGGGGCACTGTGGCGCTTTTGGGTAAATAGTTGTGCCAAAGTGTGTAGTGCCCTTCAATGCACCTACTGCGCGCGGGGCGTTTTGCTTCTCTGGAAATTTGGCCGTAGGCGCATTCAAACATGACGCATGTGCATTACAGAACAAGGCTAGTTTGTAGAAGGCCGGTAGTTGTTCTTCGCGTTCTAGCTCTGTTTCTGAGAGCTGGGATACACTGAGGGGTCACTATCACCGCCCCTCCATGTTCGATAGTGCATGCTTCGCCGTCCTACCTCGCACCGAAGCATTACGTGTATACTCTCATACCGATTGCGCGCGGAGAAATGATGATATGCAACAAGTGCTAGCCGTCGGCCATTTTTGGAAGCTACTCAGTGTGATAATGTACGGCTTATCATGGTCTCGGGTCGGCTGTTGTGACATTACGTATGCGGAGAACGCGGGCGCGCATCTTGTGGAGCTGAGTTAATCGAGTGTCAACCTGAGGTCCTTCTTCCCTGACTGGAGAAATTGCAAAGACGCGGGTAAGGCCCACAATGTCATTTCTTGAGCTTGAAGGGTTGCATGTGTTTGTTACGGGGGCGGCTGGAGGTATAGGAGGTGCGATCGTAGAGGAGTTTCTAGGTACGTATTGAATTCTGCACATTTGTATGCATTCTTGGATGCTGGAAGAGAATGCTATGCCAACGAACGTCCCGATGGTCTGCTTGGGTATGGTGAAAGGTATTCTCCAACTTGCTAGCACCATCGAACACCGCGATCAAACCAACAACACCATCACCCCAACAGAGTGTCTCTATGCATCTTGATTGCTGACACTCACGCAGCACAAGGCTGTAAAGTCACTGCACACGACCTCCGCCCAAACCCTCTCGCCTCAACAAAACCTAATCTTCACTGCTTACAGGGTGATATCAGCTCTGAAGCTTCCATCCAAGAATCCATCTCCCAAGCCATTAGCCACTTCTCACAACCCATAAATATCCTTTGTGCCAATGCTGGTATCACAGATGAATCCTCTAGCTACCCTATATGGGGCATGCCTAGCGATCTCTGGGATCGTACTTACGCTGTCAACGTTCGCGGTACTTTCCTAACAATCAAACACTTTCTCAGATCTGTCGAAGAATCACAACTGGAAACCGGCAAGGACGTCAACAACGTTAGTGTTGTCGTGACGGGGTCCGAATGTGGAGTTTTTGGTCAGGCAGGACATGTGGAGTATGCGAGTGGGAAGGCGGCACTGCAGTACGGACTTGTAAAGACGGTAAAGAACGAGATAGTCAGGTTGAACAAGAGCGCGAGGATCAATGCTGTTGCCCCTGGGTGGGTGGATACAAAATTGATTGAGGGTAGATTGGATGACCCGAAGGAGATGTGGAGGGAGGCTGAGGCTACGTGAGTCTGATGCTTGTATCCACTCTTGGGAATATTTCGCTGACTATCATAGTGTTCCCCTTAGGAAGATTGCTCAACCGACTGACGTAGCGCGAGCAGCTGCTTTCCTAGCCAGCCATCGTGCTGCGGGGCATATCTCTGGACAATGTATATCTGTCGACGGTGGTATGGAAGGTCGTATCGTGTGGTCGGAGGACGAAGTTCGCAAATCACAAGCAACTGCTGTGGAACCCGAGATGCCCTCTGTCAATACTACTGGTGAAGCCGAGGTATTTGGTACCACTACCGAAGGCGTATCTCTAGCTAGTAGAAACACCTCAGCAACGGCCATCCCAACAACGTCATCTCTCACCGCCCCTCGAATCAACCATGAACCGAAGATCAAGATACTGCTCTCGGTAGACTTTGACGCGGTATCAGGTTGGTTAGGCACTGGAGCTCACCCCAACAATAACCTCGCAGACTATAGTACGGGGTTCTTCAGTGGGCATGTCGGCGTTCCTAGGCTACTCAAACTCTTTGCAAAATACGACATCGCCAACAAAGTGACCTGGTTTGTGCCAATGCACAGCGCAGAGTCCTTCCCCAAAGAATTTGCCGCAATCAAGAACAGTGGGGCAGAGATAGGATTACACGGCTACTGCCACGAAGGCGCTCCGCAGCTCACTCCAACCCAAGAACGCGAAGTCCTCGAACATTGCATAAGCCTCTACCAAGAGTTGTTAGGGAAACGCCCACTGGGCTACCGCGCGCCACTCTACCAGCTTCGAGAGAGTACCGTAGAGTTACTAGAAGAATACTCCTTCCTGTACGACTCTTCACTATCGCACCACGATAGCAAACCATACTACCTCCCCAATCTACCACCTATAAAGCCGCCAAAGTATACCGAGGAGGCTTCCGCAAAGGACTGGATGAAGCCTCTCCCCAGACCTAGTGCCCCTACGGCCAAGACACTGGTTGAAATTCCAGCAAACTGGTACACCGAAGACATGACGCCCCTTCAATACCTCCCTAATGTACCCAACTCGCACGGCTATGTTGACGTGCGTGTGATGGAGAATATGTGGAAGGATAAATTCGATTGGATTAGGAGCGAGATGCGCGATGGTATTGGAGAAAAAGACGTAGTAGTGTTTCCATTGGTCTTGCACCCAGATACTAGTGGTATGGCGCATGTCATTGGAATGATCGAGAGAGTGATCAAGTGGCTGAAGACGTGGGAAGGGGACGTAGAGTTTTGCACATATGAAGAGGCGGCTGGGGAGTGGAAGGAGAAGAACACGGTAGAGTGATGTCGGACACATGACCGTAAGTAGACTTCGGAGGAACGAGAGTGACTGTCGATCGTCGGCATTACCATGACCATTGCATGCCGGAATTATAAGCTTCGTGTGAACTCCAAAATGTCGCAATGCAACCATATGCGAGGCAAAACCAACAACTGCTTTGTCCATGTCAGTTGAGGATGACATGGCGCATATGAAGTGTCTAGCGCTGGCGCGCTGATCCCAGGGTCCAGGTCCCGAATTCCCCACAAACGTCATCCGTTCCTCCGACCCAAACAATTAAACAAGTGGCTGCCTTGCCGCACGCATGCAAGAAGCAACGGACAGCCAGCTTTCTACAACCCCAGGCTCGAACAGTAGACATTGCCATTTCCTTTTCCTGTGCAACTTCAAGTTTTTTACCCAAAGCTCGTGGCCCATTGGGACAACTTTACGCAACAGACGGAAGAAGGCATGGAGAAGCTCAAGGAAGCAGAAACAGCAGCGGCGCAGCGCTTGCGCAAAACGTTCAAATACCCCTCAGAATCCGACGACGAAGACACGATAGAAGCAGGCATGGATGAGCAAGGTAGCACTCTTCCTCCACCTGCTACTCAGCCGGTACCCAGCTAACACGACCAAACAGATCGCGCAGCCCTCGTCCAAACCCTCAGCACACACGACACATCCACAACACACACGTACACGCTCTTTCTCCTCGCGCTTCCTCTGCTTCCCACACTACTCTACATACCCCGCTTGCTCGCCCTATCCACCCTTCCAACAAGTTTAGTCGCTGTCGCGAGTCTACTAGCCACGGCGTATACCTTGTACTTCCTACCCTTACCACCTACACAAATGGAGCCCATAGATGGCGTCGATGTGACACCTTCCACTTTCCAACAGCCATCGAGAGGGAAAGGGAAGGGCAAGAAACCCATGGGCGGATACGGAATCTACAACAAGACACCATCTTGGGAGCAACCGACTGAGAAGAGTGTGAGGCGGCCTGTACCGTATCTCTCAGAAGACATGGCAGACAGGATAGGTGATTATATTGTGCCTATCAACAGAGCTGTGTGTGGGCTTTTGGCACTGTATGAGGTGTGGTTGGCACGTGAGTGGAGTGAAGGCTTCATGATAGGAGGTGGCTTCTTGCCCGGGGTGATTTGTCTGATAATTCTGTGGGCGAGAACCGAGTTGCGGATTATTGACATGGATGCGTTGGAGAGGATTAACGCGGGTGCTGCGCAGGGAAAGGTAAAGTGAAGCCCAGGCGAACTGCTGACTCTGGAGCTCAACTATGAGATAGCCACGACAGAGATACCCATTGCAGAAGGACAATGCACAATGACTTATGACTATGACGAAATAGCGGTATCATTAGGTTCTATGTATAGGTGGAGGGTACTTATCCGTGATCAATATCATGTCGCGTCGATTGCACATGTCCAATGCTTCGCTGTACTATGCTGTACCGTGAAATGCCAAAGATGCCAGACCAACGCCGCGCTCGCTCGAAAAACAGGATCCAAATTTCTCTTTTTATGCGCTAATCATCAGATGGCACGTGAGCTACGCTCCTGGGACTTCCATGTCCAAGTCGATATTCATATGTGTGACATGGTCGAAGAGGTTGAATGCCGAAGGGAGAGGTTCCTAGCCTGATCGCTTCCAAAACTGGTAACCCTTCTTCTCGCGTTTCTCGTTTGTCTCGCCGGCGACCATGTTCGTATCCCTGATGCCACCAGCTTCTGTGCCAGCAGGATCCATATGGTACGCCTTCTCGTTGCCTCTCTTCTTTCCTTTCTTGACATCCCTCCTGGATGCACAGCAACAGCAGAGTCCCATCTGTACGAGCCAAGCGAATATGGCAAAAGCACTTGCTACCCACATGAAGGCGAACAAGGTGACTCCAATTTCCGCCGAGATGTTTAGCTCAGCCACACCACCGATAGTGTTGCGGAAGATAATGAACATGACGGTCGCAATGACGGAGGCGACTGTTACGAATAGCGCGTTGAGGAAGGCAAGGATAGCAACGGCGAGGGTGAGCCAACGCGTGTAGATGGAAATAGGCATGACGAAGATGAGGACGAAGGACAAGACGGTTGCGGTAAGGAAGAGACCGAACATCCAGTTTGAGACGAGGTGAATGAGGTCGAGAATATCGTTGATGTCAGCGGGAAGGTTAACTATAGGTGTTGTTAGTTGCTTGATTTGCAAAATGCGTCATGCGCAAGAATGGGATAGGATAGTGGGAAGCAACATACTCGACGCTCCAGCAAGAAGCTCGTTACGCAGGATCTCTACAGGGTTGAACCAATACAGCGTTTCTGGCTTACTGCAGTAAGTCACGCCTTGGCCCGCATATCCCTCGCAGAATCCCCATAGCCCGACTTGGTAGAAATCGTGCAGACCCAGTGTTTGCGCGATGGTGTTGATGAGTGCAAAGTTCGGAACGCTTGCAGGCACGATATGGCTCAAGTCGAGCCGGATGAAGTACCAGTTTTTGATAACGGCTTTATTGCGTACGCCCGCAATGTTCACGAGGATAAGGAATATGAGTGTGATGAAGAGAAAGAAGGAGGTTGTGAGCGCCCATATCTTGCGTGTGCGGGTTGCGCGCTTGATCTGCTCTTTGCTGAGCTCAGGCACCACTGTTGGCGACGTTGTCTGTGAGACGGCGGTATCATCCGACTTGCGTCGGCGCGAGAAGATGCCCATTGTAGGCGATTCGGAGGTTTTCCAGGCGTTCAAGGAGAAGCAAGCGCTGCAGCGGAGAATAGTAAGAGAAGCAAGTGGACAGCCAACGACGGAAAACTTGAGACAAACGATGAGCGAAGAATATCCGAAACACTTCGTCGATGAATGTTCAGGCCTTGGATCCGGGGCAACGCAACCTCATACGCGCGTGCTGCAGCAGCGGTCGTGTATTTTTATGGAGCCTTGTTGAAGATCTCGAGCTATGACGTACAGGACCCCTAACAGCAAAACTAGACACCGCAAGAAGGCGCTGGCGACGCGGCGCATTATTGCCTACGACACACATCGGCACTAAGCCACGCGACTAAGACGTCCAATAGCAAATCACCGGTCTAGATATTGGGCGCGACTGAAGCACCGGCGTCGGCGCACGTTTGGTACTCGCATGGTCTGGCCGGTACGCGTGTTCAAGAGGCTGGTTATGACGTCGCCCTAGCTACCGTTCACCATGAAGACTTTGGGGGTGGAGTTAATTGCTTGTGGCTGTGCTGGGGTACTTTGGTGTGGACAAACACGAGCAGAATGCATGTGTAAGATTTTCGCGGGTACGACGGGGGGAGCGGAGTTCGTGATCTGCGTGGATAATTTTGTCCATGACCGGTGCATGGCGGATGATGACGCTAGGCTTCGGCAGCAGAGGTGCATGATTTACGTCGAGGCTCCCTGCTAGGCACACGCTCTTTTAGAGAGCGAACATTACCCTGTGCAACGAGTACAAACAGGTATAGTCAAATGTGCTTGTAATAATGTTTCTTCTTTCCATTCCTCTATGTGCTCGGCTTACATGTTTCACAATCGCTCCAACGAGTCCCACCAACATCTACTCCCCGACACCAAACCGCCATGGTCTCCAAACCTTCAAGCTGCCCTCTACTTCAAGTTCTCCATCTCGCAGCAACGCAGAAGAATAAAAATTAGACATTGGAAAACGCCAGTCCATCGCTAAACCGCCCTAGAAAACGAGTAATCTGCCGGTCGATAGAGTCGCAACCGCGATGGAGAAAAATAGGAAAAAGTACATGACAAGCTGCCTGTACAGGTTGTTGCAGTGATGTGAAGATGGAGAGTAGCCAACGCGCGCGCTATGTCTATGCCACGATACCAAGGAAATCGTCAGAGCCGCTAAACAGCAGTGTATATAGAATTTGACATGATGTGAGCTTTTGATGTTCGGTCGAGTAGGAGAGTAGAGCTCTGCCAGCGAGCCGATGTGTCTATCGTCAAAGATAGGTGCTGAGCAGATTGCGACAGGTTTAGGCGCCCTCTACCATGTTCATCCTGGGCCTTAATTGTACCATGAAATCATCCCTGGTACCCATGACATCTCTTGGTATCCTGCTGACACGGTTGGCACCGCTGCGAACAGCGAACCTGCCGACCGCTGAGATACCAGAATGGTTTGATCGGATAGATCCAGCATCTGAGGCACCTGAGCCAGCAGGGTCGCGAATGCGGCCAGGTGGTGCAAAGTCAAGCGCAGTGAAGGTGCCGGACTTGCGCATCAGGTAGGGACTGGGTAGCGCGGGAAGCTCGTCATAAGAACCAACGAGCGGTGTGTGTGGTCGCACGGCGGGACTGTAGGGTCTGGGAGCACCCAGTGGGCTGTCTGGTCGTATACCGTTTTGTCTCTCACGGAACGAGACTGGCGGCGCAAAGTCAGCAGCATCGAAAACCATCGAGTTCTCGGTTAGCTTTCCGGGTGTGGGAAGAGAAGACAAAGCGGACGGTGGAGGCAGTGGCTTCTTCATTGGCGCAGGTAGACGTCCGCTCATTGAAGACATGCCGCGTGGCGGTGGGTATTGCGAGGAAGCCATGGAGCTGTTAGACATGTGCGGGCCACGAGGACCAGTGGCAGTGTTGCTTCGGAAACGAGGAGGAGCACGTGGTGGGGGTGTCATGGCACGACGAGTAATAGGCTCGGCAAAAGGAGCGTTTGGCTGTGCGACGACAAAGGCACCGGTGCGCGGGTCGAATACAGTGCCGTCTTGGTACTCTGAGCCATAGTCTTCGACGTAGTCGGTGTACTGGTGACCACCAGCGGGTTCAGGCTTAGAGTCGTCAAAGTACTCCTTGTAGAAAGATCGGATACGGTTGGCACGCTCTTCGGGGTTCTCCTGAGGGTCATCGGAAGGCATAGGACGTAGGCTCATTGACAGACGGTTGGTGCTGTGACCAAAGTCGTCTACGGCAAGACCAACGTTCTGAGGACCAGTTGAGTAGCGAGGCTTGGGTGCAACGATCTTGGGCTGCTCGCTTTCTTTGGGTGACGGTGGTGTGATCTGGAAACCATCGCCATAGCTCGAGGTACTGATGATGCTATGCGTGTTTGTGTTCTCCAGTACAACAGCCTGGGACTGAACGCGTGGCAATGAGGGAATATCGTTGGTAGTTTGGACGGGTGACTTGTTGACTTGCTTTTCTGTAACACCAGGCTCGGGAATTGAGATGGTGGGAACATTGGTGGGCTTGAAGGCAGCATACTGGGTCTTGGGTTCAGCGGAAGGCGATTCAACTGGAGGTGAAACAGGAGACGACTCCTTGTCGAATCGTGGGTTCAATGGGCTGAGAGGAATACCCGGTTCAGGGAACTTGCTGTCTGGAGACCGCGAGCCGTCAGGGGATAGAGATTCGCCGCGAATGGGGTGCGAAGTCGACATCCTCTGTGCGTTTTGAAGCAGACCGGCTTGAAGGCCTTCCTTCTTTGTTCCAGCGCTCGAAGTTGTGTACATGGATCCGGCGTCGTTTCGGTAGGGACCACGGGTTGCGCTACGGATGCTCTGGTCATCCTTTAGATAAGCTACAGGGCCGTACGGGTCATGAGGATCATGCTGCGAGCGCGATAACGAATGGAATGACTCTCGAGAGCCGTGCAGGCCAACAGGCAGTATGTACGGGCTTCCGGTCTCGATTGATAGACCTCGGTCGTGGCCTCCAGGGATTTCCTTCTCGGAAACGCTCATCTCGGGACCTCCTTTCTTGCCAGCTCTAGTCACACCCTCCATGCCCCAATCGTGCGACTTGTATTTGTCTTTTGAATCTTCCTCAGCAAGCTTCCTCTTGTTCCTGCGATGTAAGAAGAAGAGGACAATCGTGATACCGACGACAGGCACACTAAGAACAATCAGCGCATTCACTATTAAAGACCTGAGCTACGTACATGACGGCAAGTGCAATGGCGATTGTGGGTACTTGAGTCGGCTTTGTGCAACCGGGATCACTGTCGTTGGTACATGTTGCGCTGGCGCGAGCTACAAGAACGCGGCTGGCCCTTTCGACCATGTGAATTGTTTGACTTGCGCTGCTAGGGGAGCCAACGTGGTTTTCATTACGCACATGGTGGTGCATATGTTGGTGGTGTGAATGTGCCATGGCTCTAGGACCGCTTTCGCATGCGAAGTCGTGATCGATAGAGCTAGTAATGGATACGGGGGAAGCTCGTCTTTTGAATTGTCGACGTGACGCTATACAGTGTACGGTGGCGGGCGAGGCTCCGAGATGTAAGTATTAACAACGTAAGGTCGTAACTCAGTCGTAACTGCTTGTCGACAGAATAGTATATGCGAAACTCGTTCCGAGGTAGTCGAAGAGTGAATGGACGGCGATAGCCTAGGGTGATAGCAACACAACAAAACAATCTTCGGCCCAAAAAAAGAATGACTGGGGTAAGATACGATCGAGCTGCGAAGGTTGCTGGTTATGGATGCTAAAAGAGCGACAGGCCCACGAAGAGGTGAGTTGAAGGAAAGAAGACGGACGGGCGCGAAAGGTAGATGAGGCGCCGCACAGGAGCCTGATCTCCGGTTCTGACTGACAGGCCTTTTGATTGGGCAGCTGTCTCAAGCCTTGCACGGGTCAAGTGTGTTACGCCGAGCAGATGGTGAAGGGCCCCCGTTTGTCGTTAGCCGCAGCCACATGTTTGACCTTGATCCGGGCCGTTAATTGCACTCCACGCAGACTTCATCAACCAGCTCCGCCTAGACGTCTTCACTGCTATCGCGAGTCTCTTCACGCAATCGATAGAGCTATCGTCGTATTTACCCAGCTGCACATCCACCCGTCGCGCTGCATCCGAAGCCCCTACTGGCCTGCAGGTTCAGGAGGCAGCTAGGCCGCACCGTTTATTTTGGACTGCGCCCCATGCGGAGCCGCTAGCCTCGATATGTGGTCGCTACTGCAGGAACCCTTTCGCGAACTTCCGTTATTCGTCAATTCATCTCTAACAGCAGATTATCGACCAGGGCTCCTGCCGCGAGCTCCAGACCACACAGCACCGTCAGAAGCGCCCTGGCGCCCCTGAACCATAAACCGTGAACGCCCATCTCTCCATGTTCACTCGTCGTGCTCTATTCCCGGATGTACAACAGATCAGCTTCCAGCAATCTTTTTTCCTTGCATAGCCACTCTCGTCCTCTGGTCGCCCAAGACCCGCAGAAAACTAATCCTCCCCCTTTCCCACGCAGTGGAGCTCAAACCGGTCCAGAACAAACCCGCTCCACGCTCTCTTCATTTCCCGATCCCGCTGCGGCCGAGCGCTGGTCGTGCACGACCTTCACCGGCCTTGTGTTCTGCATGTGGCCTATCCCCGAGCCCGCTTCCGCTTAACAGCCGTCATTTATCGACATTGTGCTCTCCATCCGTCAGATTTGTTCTGCTCTCCTTTTAGCATGTGAAACTCTTCGGAGCCTTATGAAACTCATAAGCATCGACTGCGCAGAGTTCAATCACACTCATGCATCGCTTTTTCCACGTCACTCGGTTGCGTACACGATACGATGACTATTGAGGTTGGTGCGAACACGTGAAGGAACTGTCAAATGTCGCTCACCGCCACTGGGGTTGCCCTGCAATATCCCTTCATCACTAAGGAAATTACCTGTCTCCCGCCACTGCAATCGGCTTCTGGTGTTTGATAAGCGCATGGTTGCCGGCATAATGGCCAGGCCTTCACTATAGAAAGATGCCTCCGACCTTGCTATAGGGAAATGGCCGAAAGTGATGTCACTCTCAGTGTGAGCGTACATGAGCTGGTCATAGTTGCATCTCGTCATCTAGGGTGCCGTTGTGGCTTGTTGACATCAGAGACTCTTATCACGCACAAATGTGTGAAGTATGTCTTCTTGGAAACATTCTCGGTTCGTGTTCGTCTAGACTAGGGCATAGAATGTGCGCTCTATCCTGGTTGTGGCAGACTCAGGCCCTATGAGTCTCCTTGCGCATTCTTCTGCACATATATGCAACTCTTCCTTAATACTCCAAGAGTCGCGGCTGCTAGGAACCCTGATACTCACCTCAATTGTGACGATGGAAAAGCAGCCCTTCAAGTCAAGCAATGCCTGGCAGTCTGGGACGCCAGTGTCCCATATCTGGATGGTCGATGGCTATGTTTGTACACGCTCCATATCCATGCCAGTTCGAGGCGTAACGGAGGTTTGTTATTGTACCCGTTACGCGATTACTGCTGATAGTCTACTTTCCAGATGTCCTAAAAGCACTATCGTATTCAGTTCTTCATCGTCTTGGCTAGACGTCGGCGCGATATGCACAGAATGAATGAGTCCGGCAAGAACGAGGTTGATATGATGCTCAACATGTATGAGTAGTTGCTTCGAACAACACACCAGATGTGAATGATATCACAATATGGAAAGCATGACCGCACGCGTTTGCTTGTGAACATTCAAGCATGCAAACAAAAATATCTGCTGGGCCGTGGATTGCGAGTGGGAAATCAGCCTGCAGCAGAATTGGAATGCCGGGAGGTGCTTTTGACACGTTTCCCGAATATGCTGTCCTGGAAACAAAGTGAGCTGGCATCCTCTTCTATGGGGGTGTAAGTTTGTGTCTTGTCACGGAGCTCTCGAGACACAGAGAGGCAGGGTATCGATGGTGTCGATTCCCGGCACTGCCGATAGGGTATGTCTGTTTTCCATGGTCTCAGATGCTCCCTTGCGTGCCGGATACCAGACGGACTAATGTCGCTATCATATAGCACTGGCTGGACGCAAATGAGAATCGAAGTATAGCAAGCAGCGTTGGTCATTTAAATGTTAAAGGGAACCTTGGAATGAAGCGGTGGTAGATGGTGCTGGTCATTTTGAACGAAGAACATAATAAAAAAATCGTATTTTTTGATTTTCCAGTGCTTCGACTGTATTATGTCAGTGTTCGGCTTGAAGCGGGTGAGAGAGTTTCGGCGTGATGCAATAATCTGGTTGTTATTGCTTACACACAACGAACACTCTTTGAAAAGTGCCATCCAATTGCTTACTCGTGTATGGAAAAGCTCGATTTCGACAGCCTTTCGACACCACCAGAGAAACATTTTCCTGTCATACTATACTGACCAAAAGCTGTTGGCTTTGATCCATACGGTGCGCATGATTGTCTGGAAGGTTTTCCGACAACAACAACAACAACAACAACAACAACAACAACAACAACAACAACAGGGCTTCGTTATGTGTTAGACCTCATCCTGTTGTCTGCCCATATGGTCTCGTCCGCGGAAGGGTAGTGAGGGACTGTCGCAACGGAAAAGCAAATCGTGCACAGCCAGCCGTGCAGCCGTGAATATGCAGCGTGACCTAGGAAACGACGCACGGCATCTGCTGGCAAGTGTGCTGCAATATAGCAAATAGGCGATGGAGGCCGACAGAAGCGATCGTGGGGTCGGCGTGGCTGCCAGGTGCGGGTTAGGCCGAGAAAGTACCGATTTGACTATGACGCATTGGCCATTCTGCTCTCACAAGACAAATCATCGTCGAACAACAAAGACATACATGCACAGAACAATCACCTGCTAACAACTCGCTGCTTATCCCTCACACCCTCTTGCTACCTCCTTTGATACAACTATTAACCAACCGCCCAAAACCAGGCGTCGGACCACGATAAAGACCCATCTCCAGCCATCGAATTCGCGATTCCTTTTGGTCCCTGCGCTGCGTAGCCACGCCCCACTGCCGTCCCAACTTCTTAAGGGTCCGGTCTCCCGAGCAATCCTTATCAAACAACATGTCGCACTTCAGCAACATGGCCGCCCCTCACCCAGTATCCCCCAGGACTACTACACCAAACTCTGGGAGTAGGACCATGGAGGTCCGCCCTCAGCCTGTCCTGCGTCTGTCAGCACCTTCGGGCGTGCTCCGTCTGCGAGCAGAGCCCTCGCAACGTCGACACATTCAATGGGCGGAAGACGTGGTTGACAATGAAGGCATGGGGAAGAAATCATCCAAAGGTACAACCCTCCAATGACACCCTTGTGCCATCAGAGGAACTAACAGAATCAAAGTCTGCTGCATTTATCACAAGCCCCGCGCTGCCGACGAGTCTTCCGACGATGACTCTTCAGATTCATCATCAGACTCAGATTCAGACTCTGAGCCCGACAACAGCACCGCAAGACCTGCTGGAAGAATTGGCGGTGCGCGCGGCAGACGGCCACATCAGCACGATGATGGTTGTGAAGACGTCCACGATCATGGCGAGGCCTCTGGTACCCCGCAAAAGCACAAACGTCAACGGAGGAAGCCAAGCCCGAATGCTTACGAGAAGATGCCGAAGCAGAAGAAGTGAACTTCAATTGCGCTTCAGATGGCAGACTCACTTGGTCATGCCGGGAGCTGGCTTGTACGACTTGGAAACGATTCTCATTGCTTGGAGTTACGGGTGTTCACGAGACACGTTATGATTGGGACTGCGTCATTGCATAGCGCTGGTAACGGACTTGGATAGTCCGTAAAACTTCGTTTTTCGCTGTTGAAATTTGGCGCATTGAAGCTTTTACATCATCCTGTAGCATTAAATTTGCGCATGTGAAGTTGGGACATGTATCCCTCTTATGCTTATTCCCGTCCCCTTGCCTCTCATTGGTGCTGTCTTCACCGTTCTTCGATGCACACGCTATCCCTCAGCTGTAGGACCAACTGCAGCTAACGTTGGGCTCGATTGCAGCTGTGCTATGTGCATCCCAAGACGTCCCATTGCTTGCAAATGCTCGTTAATTGGACGGCCAACGCATGTATATGCAACCGATCGCGCATCAATCTTCCACCCTTGGTGTTCGTTCTGCCTCAAAGCGTTTGGGCTCAGCGAAAAGCTCCATAGGATGCCAGGCACATGTTGTCCACATGCTCAATCCTCTGCTGTTGCTGCATTGGCCTGCTCGATTACCGCAGGCGCATGCTGTGTGGGAATGCGGACAAGCGTCTGTGGCAACGGCGGCTCATCCTCTGCCTTCTTTTCCGAGTCTTCCTCTTCCTTTGGCTGTGGAAGTTTTGCTGCTGTGATTTAGAACGCAATCCTTCCGATGATCGCACAACTTACTGGATGCCATGTTAATAGCCCTTAGCACATTATGCCAATTTGACAATACTGCTGCGACCGCTAATCAACCACCAAGTTAGCATGATATTTCTACTGCGCTCCATGCTTGAGACTGCCTGTAAAACTCATCTACATACCTTCTGTTCCATTTGATAAAGTCGACAGCTTATCAGCGAGCATCTGCATTTGGTCTGCGAGTCCTCCACTTAGTGCTTGCAGGTCTTTCAGGTTCGCTAGTTCGGCTTTTTTCTCTGCGATGCGCGCGAGCAATACGGGAGACTGTTGCTGAGAGCCGCCCATGGACTGATTACGGAGATGAGTAGGGAGGGGGCGCGTGAAGTTTGACATCCTTTACAGTTGGTGTACGTTCAGCACTTTCTTCGGCGAAAGTATAAGTAGTACTCGTAAATAGTAGGTAGATGTTCTTGCTTCGCGGGATGCGCGACCAGAAGTGTTTTCTCTGTGGAAGAACAGAGGACAGGAGAAGTGTCAGGTTATTGGTTTTTTGTCATTAATATGGTAGACAGTTGCCAAGCGTGATACGGATATGCTGTGCTGATACGCGTTCATGCCCCTCGTGTCACGTGGAAGCGCTCTTTTGGCTAGCCTATTTTAACTTAGCTTTGTTGCTATGTAAACATGCAATGACGAACACAGAAGGAACACCCACCGACGCCTTGTAGTATCCACGTCGCCACGACCGCGTAATCGTCTACAGCTTTATAATTAACTTCGACATACCTATTTGCGCATATGGCGCGTCTCAACGAGCCGCCGATCGCACCTCAGCCATCGACGGATTCTATAGAAGCCCTCAAGCGACGCTTTTTGAGGCAGAACCGCGAACTCGCAAAAACGAACTCGATTCAGTCTATACGCATACGAAGCCTCGAAACAGACTGTTCGCGATTACTCGCCGAGAATTTGGCATTGCGCGAGCAGGTCCTGAACCTTCACAACACTATTGAGTCGCGTCCGGCACTCGATCAGATTGATGTTGTTAAGACACAGCTTGAAGCCAAGCTTTCAGAGCTCGGTAGCTTGGTAGCAGGTTTATCGCAATCAAGAGGTGGGCATGAGAAGGATGCGGGAAGACGAAAAAGCCAGATGACAGCAAAGAGAAAAAGCGGAGAAGAGCGACAATGGAGAAGTGGATTGGGTCTTCAGGAGGTAGAGAACGGCATGCTGCCTACAATCACAGAAGACAAATACTATCCTCGAAGGACAATGGGGTATGTCTTTGTTGCCGTGCTAGAAATAGCATGCGCAGACGCACGCGAAGCTAACTCGTCGCAGTGCAGACGAGCTTCAGCAGGTTTTAGAAGACCCGGACAGCCAATCACCAGACATCGGTCCTCCACCAGTTGCGCGATTCGAAGACGAAGATCCCATTGGTTTTGATCCCAGTCCTGCAGTAGAGGAACAACGTGAGGAGGCTGGAGATGAGGGCGAGCCTGCGTTGTCGGTAAACCTTGAGACGCGTAAGAAGCGACGAGAAAGTGGGCCGAAGCTTAACATACGTCGCGTGTCCCTTTTCGAATCTCCGGAAGAAGCTGAAGAGACAGCTACAAAGCCTCTGCGTACTGGAGCGAAGCGGAAATTCAGCGTCCAGGAAGACGAGGAAGTGAGCCAAGCCAAGGGTGACGCTTTCAGATTCAGTCGCCGCAATATCTCAGGTGCTCCAGGGATAGAGACATCTAGTAGCGAATCCAAGCCTTCGTCATTAGATCGGCTTCCCGTTCTTTCAGCTAGTAAGTACACACAAAGCAAGATAGGGTCAATATCTGACTTGATAGAACCCGTCAATACCGATCCAATTTTGTCGCCAAAGAAGCATCGCTCTTCAAACCAAGACAAGCCCGAGAAACCAGAGAAGCCCGAGAAGCCAGCATCGAAAACTCGTAGTCGTCCTCGATTGAATATTACACGCAACACCACTCCGGACCTTCCGCTGATACCCATGCCTGAACCTGTACCTACTGCAGAGATCATACTCGATTCTCTACCTCCTAAGACACCTGCTGTGGACACTATTCTCTCTCCACCTTCTACCGAGCCGTCGACGCAACGACCAGACAACAAGGATACACCGCCACCGGGAGATCTCAGTTCCGCAGATCAGACCGGTCAAGCAGGTCGACCTGGCAGACGAGCGCGTCCTCAAGTCAGTTACAAAGAGCCCAGTCTCAACGTAAAGATGCGACGTCCAGATGCTAAGCTAGTTGATGCGGTGGTCGATCGCAGGACAAGTGTAGAAACCCAGCATGTACCTTCAACCCTTGTCAAGCGTGACGCAGATGGCGAAATCTCTTGGAAGCCCGTGTCGGTAGTCTCTCAGCCGAGAGGTGAAGAAGAGGCCGAAGCAGGTAGCCCACTGAGACAGAAACTCGACAGAAACCAAGACTCCAAAGCATCACCAGCGTCGTTTGAACCTGAGGAGCGATCGACAACCTCGAAGGCCATATCCGCGCTCATCACCGAAACCAGTACTGCTAAGAGAAGAGTATCGTCATCAACTGCAGGATCCGCCTCCGAGCTTGCCATCGCCAAGCCAGTAGATCTTCCTCTTCTAAACAAGGATACCATAGCCGTTGAACAAGAGCCGAAAGAGAAGGACAGCTTGGCCGTGTTCGACTTTACCGACTCTTCACCTGCGGACCCAACGACCAACCCACGTACACGGGTTAACGAACTTGCTAAAGCAGCGCGAAGTGCGCGGCGACACTCTGCTATGCCTGCTTCTTCTACATCAACTTCATTAGAAGAGCGCAAAGCCGAGAGGGGAAGGGTTGAAGGGGCACTCCCTTCGTTGCATAAGCGCACTGGAAGCGGAAATGTGAAAAACAGTAGTAGTACTTCGAGTCTAGGAAGAAGTACTAGTGCTAATGGTATCGCTAGGGGCACGTCAAGTGCTCGAACGGCAGGCGTGAAGGAGAAGAGACTTACCGATACTGCAAGTGTACCGGCTGGTGCCAGTACGGCTGACGTAAGGGCGAACGCTGATGGAGCCGAAAGCATCAAAGTGCGAGACGGAGGGAGGGAGACGAGTACATTAAGAGCTGAGCGCGCAGCTAGCCGTCGAAAAAGTATGATGCTTTAGGGCTGGACTTAGGATACCATGTAGATGATTGGGGCGTTCTCATATATTGGCGTTATGACTGGCACGACATGAGCTGTTTCTCCATAGCGACGGCGTTTTTCTTCGCGAATGATACCTGATCTCACGGGATCATTTTCTCTATTCAGTGCAGTCAAATCGCTCTATGACGGTCATGAAGTCTAACTTGTTACTCTTCTCGATGGCTTTTTGTCAGGTTGCGCTCCTGTTGCGTCACGAGCGCGTCTCCATCGATCCATCTAAGAGCATCACTCACATGTTGCATACAGTATATCGCCCATAATCATATTAGTGGATGTATTGTTGCCGAGAAGCTGCTCAGTTAGCATGTCACAACATGTCGACAAGGTCATATGCGGTTGGTGATGTGATTGGTTGTATTGATGTGTGATGTATGTCTGTCTCTCAGCCTGATGAAGCCTTTGTTCGATACGATTTTTACCTGGACCCCATCTTTAACGGTTCCTGTCCTCATACCAGTCCTTTCCACTGTTGTCTTTGCTAAAGACTCTCTTGAAGCCTTTGGACACAGCATCAGTGACACTAAAGTCGTTGAACAACCATTGGTTGCTGTGTCGGCCATAGTACTTGAACTCCTTTGGCTCTTCGCTTCTCGCACTCTTGCCGCTTCCAACACTGCTTTGAGTGTCTCTGCGGTTGCGCTTGTGGACACGCGGTTTGCTGAACTCGCCTGGTGCGACACCAACACTTTCAGCATGTGTCTTGGAACTAGGCTCAGCGCGCATAACGCGGAGGCCGGAGTACTGAGAGTAGTGGGAGTCATTGGTGCCTGTTGTGGACATTGTTGCTGATTTGGTGAAACGGGGCATGACGCCGCTGTCGATGGAGGTGGATCGGGGACATCGCTGGGACAGAATTGAGTCGGAGGAGGTTTCTCCATTGCCTTTGGCAGAGTTGTTGTTGTTGTTGTTGATGTTGTTGTTGGACTGGTGTTCGAACGAGACAAGCCTTGAAGTCAAGTCTTGAGCGTCGATGCGTTGGTTGTTATAGTCAGTCATCGGCAGTATGGTTGGAGACTGAGTAGAGAAGGTGATGACCTTTGGGTCTTGGCTGATTGTGGAGTGGATTGGATAGTCTTGGATCGTGTTTGGCCCTAGTGTCGAGGCAGTGGAACTAATGCTTGTAGATGGTAGTAGCATCGAATGTGGCAGTGCAAGCTAGGGGGGTGAATGAGGTATATATGCTTTCTCTTGTTTTCTTGCCAAGACCAACACTCTCACCATGGAATGCAGTCAAGACTTATTCCCGCCTCTAGGCGTCTTGGGTGGAGTCACTGGTTCAACGTATGGGAAGTCGGTTCGGGACAAACGTGTCTCTTGACCCAACCGTGAGCCGCATTGAACCTTACTAACCCACTTTATCCTGAAATACTCTCACTTCTGTTCGATTAAACGCTATCGTACGTCAAATACGAGAACACATGACCTCTAACCCTTGATAGCCAATGTCAGCCTTACCCGGCTATCGGCAACCGCCACGCAATCCTAGAGGATAGTTTTAGAGACCGTGCAACAGCCACAGCAAGCCACATCCAATCCGAGCTCTGCAGCAACCTCAAAACGCAAGGCCGCGAATGCATACTACTGCAATTATGACATCGATATCGTTTTTCACGGCTAGGCGGGTATGGCTCGTGACTCGGAGCCTTCCAGTTAGGGCTAGCTGTGGCTTGTGAAGAGTTTTAGGGTGCCCCGGAGCCTTACGTGGCTTGAACAGTTGAGGCGCACGAGTCGGTTAAGCCACAGACAGGTGCATTGAAGTAGTATGAAAGTGGCCGTCGGGTGGCTTGTGAAGCTCAGCAGCCAAATAGAGGTTGATGTGATTGCCGGTGTCCGAATCTGTAATCGGAAGGATAGCCTGAACGGATGTCAACAGCCGACAGGGCAGAGCTTGGGCAGGAGTCCATGCTCGATAAGAAATTATGCAGGACAAGACAAACTTTGGGTCAACATCGGTGATTTATCCTCCGCCAGGCTCAGGACCCGCGCAAGGATGCATGGAGAGACGACGAAGATATGATTTGTAGGTGTAAACAGTCTGCTAGGACCTAGGGCGCTGAGGGATTTCAGAATGCTAGATCAGCAAGAGTAGGCAATTGCAGCACGAAAGCAGAGACACTGCTCTGATTCTTGGAAACCAACAAAGTCAAGACGGCAAACTCCCTATAGTAACACAGCATCTCATGTTGCCTAGCAAGAAGAACGCCATACGCCGCATCATCGTAGTGGGTATATCGATATCAAAAACACCTGTCAGCGCCGCACATTGAAAGTTCACACCCCCACTAAACACCAGGTACACCATCCTTGCTGCGGATGCGTCCGTTTTTGACCGAACCTATGGTGACACCAGCTTCACCAGTCATCCAGCCTGGCATCTTCTCACCGTCTATAATACCTTCTTCTACCAACTGCCTGATACCGGCGAACACATGCGTCCCTTGGAACGTGACCCGTACGTTCGGTACCCAGCCCTCTTCATTTTGTATTTCCTCGAGATCTTTAGCGGTTCTGTCGAGAAGAGAGGGGCGGCCGCGCCGTGTACGGCTGCCAGTTTGAGCATCAAGGTTCGATATATCGTCGTCTAGTTGCGTCGGAGTACTGCCGTTAGATGGAGATGGAAATGGGTCATCGATGCGGACTTCGAATCGCTCAAGACCTTGACCATCGTCAGGCTGCGCTGAGGTCCCGAACCGTCCAGCAGCTACCTCTTTCCTACGTTTGGCCTCTGAAGACTGTTTGTCGTCCAGTGGTCGCTTGGGTCGACCGGGTCCAGCTTTGGATCCACCATTGGTATTGCTCTTTTCCCCGGTCATCTTGTCTTGCCCTTCACTCTTTTGTGTGGTGATAAAGTCTAGTGCATTCTGACTAAAACTATGATCTTGAAAGATGCTCCAACCACCTGCTGCAGCATTGCTCTTCCCAGGCCCGCGGTACGTCAAAAGGGCATCGAGTGACTTGGTGGTAAAGTTCGTACTTGTTAACTGGTAACGCGCAGACGGTCTTGAGAAGGCTTTCGGTATAGCTTGCTGCACGATATCCCTCAGATGTCTCCCTTGGTCTCCAACGACTTGGCCGGTAAGCGTTGCTAGCGACGAGTATACGAAAGGCGATCCGTTAGGCCATACGAAGAATACAGCTTTGGCGCTATCCGTGCTGCTGGACTCGACGGTCAGCGACGCTTCGGTGCTGTACGGCGAATCGTGAATGTAGACTCGTAGTATGGTCATGGGCGACGATTTTATCCGTGTAATCAGGTAATGTGCCTTCATAAGCGGCGTCAGCTCTCTTGCGAGATTTGACATGAAGGTCTGCGCTTGGAATCGTGGAAGATGGTCTGAATCGTTTGTGACTTCCATGTCCGTCACTGGTGATCGCGCACTAGGTATCTTTGTGAGGCGCTTCGCCGTCCAACGCAAGGCATTCGGATGATCTAGTAAGTACTGTATCTCTGCCGTTGCCATTTGGTACATGGATATGCCGTGTCTCCAATCTCCCTCAAGTATGCGGTCAAGCACCTCCCTCCTGCCACCTTTGCGCGCAGCTAGCTGTTTGTACGTTTCTTGAAGCACTTCATAGCTTTGCGCCGGCTCGTATATCTCCTCGTCGTCCTCATCCACTCGATCACTGAGCAGATACGGCTTGCAGAAGTCGCGGTTTTTCTTGCTGAGCCATTGCAGCGCAAGCGACACGAGCGATTGGCGAGAGAGCTTTGTAAAGGTGCGCTGGACCTCGCGGTGGTTGATCGGCAACCGGTGAGAGTGCGGAATATTCTTATAGTCGGGGGCGGTCGCCATCACGTCGGTGCGGTTTGCGTCTACATGGAGGGGCCGTCGGTTGTTGTTGATTGGAAGCTGTTATCGATAGTGTGAGTCGCGACGCGTCGAGGAGGACCAGGGCCCACCACGTGACTTGGCCCACCCCCATTGTGCTTAGGTGGTCAGGTACCTGGGCGTCTACGTAGCGATAAACTGTTGTTTGTAACATTCAACACAGACCTGTAGATTATGCATCGCTCCCAAAGCTCTCCACCTTCAACGTATGTCGTCTGGATGAGTCTTGAGGTTCTTACGGAGCCGTTTGAGGATGGGTGTAGTGTATTCTTTCCGGTTCAAAGCTACCTAGGTGCACAGTAGTCTCGCTGCACTCCGTCATAGATAACCATTAGGTATTACCAATATTCATGCACCCACAGCTCTCTCCAAGGTAAAGACCGGAGAGACATTAGTTCCACCAGGATTCTGTTCTGGTGAGGCTCATCAGTACATTCGCTGGCTAGGAATCCCTTACAATTCTTGCCAGATTCAGATGGACACTGATCATATTTTTCTTGCCGAAGATAGCATAATATGCCGCGTGGAAATTGCCGCTTCTTGGATGTGCGATCCGCTCAGGTGTCCGGTCCAGTCTCGGACAAAGACGCTCAAACATGATTCGTCGTCGGCAAGATGTACGTCCTGATTACAAACAACGAATGCTCAGCTGCTGTGGAAACAATACGACGAGCTGACGGTAAGACGACAGTCATGCTGAGTTTCCTTGAGCCAGCAATCCGAAAGGAAGCAGTAGTCATTCACAGTGCTCTCATCTCGAAACCCTGAACTCGGAGAGCGAAAGCTGGAGCCGTTGCGACTCCAACCACACGTGGGGTGAGGCTCGGCGTAAATGCGGCCTGGGGTTTGCGGTCGCTAATAACTCTAGTCATCGACCGCGGGGCTTCCATTGATCGAGAACGCCCTGCGCACTTTGACGTTCATCCACGTCACGATACACACACACATTGCTCTTGCTTTTTGCACCCTCATCAACGGCCTGTGCAACAGAACGTATACACCAAACCAGCGAACGATTTCAAACGTCGAACCAGGCTCCAGCCGCGCAAAATCAGCTTCGGACACGCAAGCGCGATCGGATCGGGCCTGAGTGGAGCACCATCTCCCAATTCCTCAACAACGACTTCCAGCGATTCTCCCGCTCCATCGTCTGGATAGCAAACATACGCCCATGTCCGCCTACAAAGGCCAGCGAGGGCCCAACGTGTCCCAGTACATCGCGAACCTCAACCAGCTGTCGCCACAGCAGGATCTGCTTGCCGATCCAGCACCCACCGAGGACTTCTCCGACTTCCTGAACGGAGAGTTCTTCGACGTGGACAACGCCCGTAACGCCAGTGTCGACTTCGCTTCTGCCAGTGCTTTTGGCCTTGATTTTGATACCGAGCAAACACAGCCGCTGAAGACCGACGGAGAGTTCCCGCGCAACCCGGGCACCAGCGCCGACGCGAACATGGACTTTAATTTAAATGGTAAGCACATTTCCATGTTCAAAACTGTTCCATTTTCAGTCAATGTGGTTGTTAGCCATTGAGACTCGTCCGTTTGAATTGTCGCATGGTTCGCATTACTCCGTCCAATAGCAGGCTGGCGAGGCGCATGCAAACCCCGCCCTGTGTGTTGCATGCATCGTCACCCCACACCTCGTACAACAGCCACTCACAAGGCGTCCTATATATGCAGCCATGCATCACTGCAAGCACGTAACTGCTTGTTCCGCTGAGCGAAGAACACCACGCACTCGCATCGCGACTCGAGCACATCATCGTCTAGAATAGCCATGACTGACTTTGATCTGCTAGTAGGCGACTTCCCATTCACCGACTTCAACAACTTCGGTACAACACCAGCGTTTGACCCCTCCATGCCCCTGGCGCACTCTCAGCCTACCCACTACCCGCTCGCACCCAACTACGCCTCACCTGCCTCCTCGTTATCTCCTGTTGCCCAAGGCTTTGATCAGTCTTCGAAGAAGCGCAAGCTCGACAATGTCGCTCCCGTCATGCCACAGTCTCTGGACGAGAACGCCCGCGTAGCCGCAGAAGAGGATAAGCGTCGCCGTAACACAGCCGCAAGCGCCCGCTTCCGCATCAAAAAGAAGCAGCGTGAGCAAGCTCTCGAGCAGTCCCAAAAGGAAGCGCAGGAGAAGGTCGCCAAACTAGAAGCTACCATCCAGCAACTGCAGACGGAGAACGCATGGCTCAAGGGACTCATCACCGAGAAGAACGGCGGCAAGAGCACTACAGACGAACTCAAGGCACTCATCAACAAGCGCGAGCAAGCCACAAGTGGACGGAGTAGCGGTACGCACACGGATGGCGTAGGCACCTCGATTGAGAGCCAAAAGGCGGATGCCTAAAATACGTCCTTTGTTTCTTCTTCTTCTTCTTCTTCTGTCCTTTCTTCTCTGTACCTTTGTTGCTCTCAGTCAAGCTGGTCAATCTTTACTTTTGCGTACTGAGCCCATGTTCTGCTGTGCTGCTTCCACGGTTGGTCGGGTGGGCGATGGAGGATATGCCATATGATTAGGAAGAGTACGCGATCATATCCATGTAGACGAACGGATGAATAAGTAGCCGATACCATTTTCAACACATATAATGCCAGATGTTCCAACACAAAGGGAAAAGCCTGTTTTCTCTGCCAAGTATCAAACATGGATTCTGAAGGTGTTTTTCCTGTTTTACATTAATGTGCTCGTGAGGAGAATGCGTTGTAGCGTCCAGGTTATAGCAGGAGACGATGAGTGGAGTAGCAAGTATCAATATAGTAGGTATCAATTTCGCTATGTCGACGGGGGGAAGCGCAGGACTATGCACACTGTGGTTTCAACGCCGTACCCAGGAAGAGAAGAGCAGCGATTTCCAATCAAAAAACACCCCCAGCTTTCTTCTCGGCCCTCAGCCTCAGCGGGCCACTCACGTAGCTTTCGCTTGGCCCTTCATACGGGCCAGTCTGCATCCTACCCACCTTGTTCGATCGTCTGGATGGAAAATGCAATGGCTCACACCTGGGACCATCAACGCCCTTGGCGCTATTATCCTTCTAGATAGCAATCCAGGTGATGGTAATGACAATGTCCATGCCCTTCTTCTCGGCAGCCTCCCACTTGTAGCTGTATGTGCCGTCCTTCTCGTTGTTCCAGAAGGCGCCAACCGCGCTGTGCATGCCGCGACGACCGTGCTTGTCGGGTTCCGCGGGAGAGCCAATGTGTTGGATGACGGTGCTGTTGGCGATGTACTTGTAGGCAGGCTGCGAGGGAGTTTCAGGGGTGGAGGATTCGGATGAGGGTGTAGTCTTGCTGATGAGCGTCTTGAGGATGTATTGCTAGGGTAAACGTTAGTACATGATGGAGGCGGTTTGACGTCGCGTGCATGGTTGCGCCAGCTAGTCTAACTAAAACTTACAATAATCTCGCTGTTCCAGTCTCCAACCTTTGTGTGGTCGTATGATTCAGCGGCGCCGATAGCTTGCTCGCAGGCCTAGGTAGTTTGGTTAGCTCATGCAGCCTCATCCAGACGCATGCAGGGCGGCGTACCTGCTGAGCAATTTGCTCCAGTTCAGAGGTAGGAAGCGGTGACGCGGACTGTCTCTTTGTCAGTATACAATAACTTGTGCTTGCCGAGCAAGACACTTACTGCCATGGTGTTGACTGTGCTGTATAGTGATGTTGTGAAATGTGGAGCAGGAGGTTTATCGATGTCTCGAACAGGAACGTAGTGTGATGAGACGTAAATGTCGTGTTTACTCCCAAGGATCAGTGTTTGGACAAAGCTAGCGTCGGCGGCCGGAGTTGGATAGACGTGGCAGGTGCGCAGGTGGCACCCAGGGACCGGGCCATCCCCGCATGCAGCCTCAGAGCCGATGCTGTCACGTGGGCGACATGATAGGCCAAGGGAAGGCGTGAACTTGCATGGGTTTCCCATCGCGACCCGCATCAACGAGAGCTTTGACGGCATTGTGATGCAGACTTCTTTTCCTCACCTTGTTCCTACCACGAGATTCTTCGTCTGAAGCTGCATCAATCCTTGGCTCTCTTGGTGCCACTCAAGCGACCGATACTCAACCTCAAAAGTACCTCTGGAAAGCTCGCGTCGCAACATCAGCGGGACCATCACCACCATCGTCATGTCCACCCAACCGCTTCTCCAAACCGCTCCCGGTGCGTCGCGTCCTTCGCTCCGCCCCCAAAACGCATACTAACACTCTCCTCCAGGCAAGCGCATTGCTCTCCCCACGCGTGTCGAGCCCAAAGTCTTCTTCGCAAACGAGCGCACCTTCCTCTCATGGCTCAACTTCACCGTCATCCTCGGTGGCCTCGCAATCGGCCTGCTTAACTTCGGCGACAAGATTGGCAAGATCTCCGCCGGCCTCTTCACTCTCGTTGCCATGATGGCCATGATTTACGCCCTGTTCACCTTCCACTGGCGCGCAAGGAGCATAAGGCTAAGGGGCCAGGGCGGCTTCGACGACCGACTGGGTCCTACCATTCTGACGATTGCGCTGTTTGCAGCCGTCATTGTCAACTTCGTGCTGAGGTTGACAATGGGTGGTGAGCAACACCATGGCAAGAACTAGGAGAGGTACCAGGATGCAACGTGCGCGCAGCAGCTGCCATCACCCAATAGTTTGTGTGCATAGTGGCTCGGGCGCACATGGTCGGATTGAACGTGGAGGGTCGTGGAAAGAGGCAATAGCGGGTCGTCAAAACATACTTGGGGATGCAGAACTGGTGAAGACGACATATTTGGATGAGTTGGAAGGGCGTTTTGTTATTCAGTAACATGGTCATGTTTTCAAGAGTTCTGTACAATTACATAATGACATGCATGTCGAATCGAGGTGCCTGTTGTACCTCTTCTTGTTTTTGTTCTAGTTGCAGCTATGCAAACCACACGTAAAGAGGACGCAAAGTACATTTGTTTTAGCTTTACGATCTTTCAGTCTCCTTGAGAGGACCGTGT